GGATAGCGCTTTGAATGTTTAAATGTAGCAGCCATGTGCTGATGTGCTGATGAGGAAAAAAACGAATACGAGGCCTCAGTAGCAGGATTCATAACCCAAAAGAATTTGAGAATCGAACCTCACCAGCATACCTTTTAATTAGGATACATGAGTTTGAAAACTGTGCCAACAAAGACTACAAATTTGGGTTAAGAAGTCATTGCCTTTCGACAGTTTTTCCTTTGTGCCAACTGCTGAGAGGGGGGTGGGGAGCCAAGAGATGAGGCCAGTAACAGATGGTGGGGAAATAACCATCTCCAGCTCTGTTCTTTTTTTTATTTCCAGTTTATACAAACAACTGGTGGAAAGTTTCTAACAGTGTGATCTACTCAGAAGCCCCATTGAGCCCAGTGAAGTTTACTCCCCAGGTTATAGGATTGAAGGCAACATACGGAAAACTTGGCAGAGCAACTTGAAAACTGCTCTGTGGGTGGGTGGGGGGATAAGGTTCTCTTGTAACACTATGGTCAGCTAGTGAGAGAGAGAGAGAGAAACAGATTGCCTGCTTAAAGTTCTGTCTGCATGAAATCCAATTCCAATGTGCAGAAAAGTCTATTTATTGGAAGCCCCCTACAGGTATTCAAAGGACAGTTTAGGCCCTCAGTTTATGTGGAGAGGATTATGTATTTTCACTTTTGCTTACCATTGAGTGCAATGCTGCTTTTAAAGTTCTATTCAGTTGTTATAACTGAATATTGAATATTTGCAGTAAGGTGAATAAGATCATATATATATTAAAAAGCTTAAAAGATTTGAGATTGTATCCTGCAAAAGCATTCAGCAAATATAGGTTGCTATAAGACCCTTGACAGTTAATTTACAACTTGTACTTTGTGGCATTGCAGTTGATGCTAATACAGTGGTACCTCGGGATGTGAACAGGATCCGTTCCAGAGCCCCGTTTGCATCCTGAATGGAACGTAAAACGTGCTCCGTTACTTCCGGGTTGCCACAGAGCGCAACCCGAAAGCGCTCAACCTGAAGCACATTCAACCCGAGGTATGACTGTAAAGGTATTTCCCTACCGTGGCTTTTGGACCAGCATGGTTCTTTTTATATGCTAGCTGTGTATCTAGCGACACAGAACCCACCATCAAATTGTCCCCGTACGTAAAATCTAAAGAGGCTCTCGCAAACTTGTCCCATTAACAAGACACATCATTGTTCGTTTTGCTTTTTTACTCATTTCTTCACATGCCCAAAACTAAATGGATATTTAAAAGCACTTTATGGATTAACTGGATCATTCCTGACCACATTTTGCCTCCGAGACATAACACTTGGGAGATTTCACTGAAATATATACACGATGTCATTGTAATGGGATATGTCATTCATACAGATTGTTTGACAAGAACCCCTGGATCTTGGATTCCTGCCCACAGGACTAATCTTGAAGAGGTGGCTGACAAGATGCAATGAAAACAGTTGCACTGAAACAGGCCTCAAGTCTAACTCAAATCTCCTTGCCCTCCGAAATGTAAAGAGGTGTGCAATGGTTATTTGAAATAAGTGTTGTAAGTGCACTATATGGGCCTAGATTGGGTAAAAAACTTGCTCTAATTTAGCTTGTAGCTGGGAATCAGGCCTAGAACCTATTGCATGGTATGACTAGAAATTCATCTTGGAGAACAGAATCCAGGAAATGCCATCTTTATCTCACCGGGATGAAAGAAAAAGTATATTAGCTTGTGCTCCTATTTTATGCTCTCTCTTGTTAGCTTTGCAGTTAACAATAGTTATGACTTATTTTTTATTATTATTATTTATTGAATTTATATACCGCCCTATACCCAGAGGTCTCAGGGCGGTTCATATACAAGGTAGACATTTACTAGCTGTCTTGCTTTCCAACAAGGCTTCCTTTCAAATAGGTGTGCCCAGGATTGCAGTGATATTCTGCTGTATTAATAATGATGATGATGATGATGATGATGATAATAATAATAATAATATTTATATACCACCCTTCATCATAAGATCTCAGGGTGGTTCACAGAATAAAGTACAGGATAAAAACAAGTAAATAATTAAAACAAAACAGCAAAACAATAACCCCAACTCTCCACAGACACATTTAAAAGGCTGTAGAGTATTAATTAGCCAAAGACCTGGTTGAAGAGGAACATTTTCGCCTGGTGCCTAAAAATGCATGATGAAGGTGCCAGTCAAACCTCTCTGGGGAGAGCATTCCACAAACAGAAAGCCACTAACAGAGAAGGCCCTTTCTTGTGTATCCTTGCACGGGTTGAGAGTGCTAAACAGAAAAAAGTCTCACATCTCTCTATAGTTTTGCAGGGCAGAAGCTTTGTGAGATGCATGGCCAAAAGTTCTGGATTATGCTCCGAGGTTGTACAAAACAGTTTCAATTAAAGTATGCATCTCCCCCCCCCCCCATAATATTTATTGTTTCATACAAATACAACACATACTATAAAACCAATGAAACAAATATAACGAATAGTAACAAAAGATATAACCACAAACACATAGACAATGAAAATTAATTAATTAATTAAACTTCCAACCTCATAAACATATTGCTTGACGTCGTCTAATCTCTTCCATCTGAATCCTTGTAACTAAATGTAGCAATTTTCCAATATCATTATTCAGAAAACAATCTTCCGATTATAATCAAATTTCGTAACTTTTCCTAACATTCTATATCTCATTTATTTATTTAAATCCTAACTTAAACCTAGGCCTATTTAGTACTTTCAAGTAACTTCTAATCTTTAATATTACAATATTTACGATTACGATTACGATATCTTTATTGTCATTGTCCCTTGCGGAACAATGAAATTGAAAAACTACATAAAACTACCACAAAACTACATAAAACTACCGCAAAACTACATAAAACTACATAAAAACTACGTAAAACATTCAAAAACCCCTAAAAACTCTAAAACCCCATTTTAAAATACACTATACTACAGAGACCCCTTATGCTGAGTTTAGAACCAGAATTGCATTAGCGTAGAAACTGTTTCTTAGGCGGCTAGTCCTGGCCTTTATAACCCTATACCTTCTTCCAGAAGGCAGAAGCTGAGATTATTTCCGGGGTGCGTACTATTATGTGCTATCTCTGCCGCTTTCTTATGGCACCTGGCAGCATATATTTGATCTAAGGTGGGAAGAGTGCACCCAATAATTCTCTCTGCAGTCTTTACAACCCTGGCTAGCATTGTTTTTTCCCTGGCCATGCAGCTCCCAAACCACACACACAGACCATAAGTTAGTACGCTCTCCACAGTGCAATGGTAAAATGCCATCAACAGGTCCTTTGAGAGATTGTTTTTCCGGAGGATTCTCAGAAAATATAACCTCTGCTGTGCTCTCTTCACCAGGTCTTTGCTGTTCTCTCCCCAGGTTAGGTCGTCTCTCAACTCCATTCCCAGAAATCGAAACACCGAAAATTTCTTCCAATCTTCTTGGTATTCCTCTTCTTTCTGGTCATGGATTCTCCCAGTGAGATCAGCTAGCTCCATAAAGTCCATCATCTTCATCTGCCATTCTTCCACCGTTGGTAATTCTTGTGTTTTCCACTTTTTGGCTATTAAAATTCGAGCAGCAGTTGTGGCATACAAAAATACCTTTACATCTTTCTTGGGCAGTTCAGAACCTAATATTCCAAGGAGGAAGGCCTCTGAGGTTTCTTGAAGTATGCATCTTTTTCAGGAAACATGTATTTCAGCATTAAAAATTTGATTTAAGATGTTATTTAAATTGGACTTTTGGGCAGCAAAAGCATTCTTTATAATGATGGTAACGAAGAGGAATGCTCTGTTTGCCAAGGCAGATTGATTTAGATCATTGGTGTGGGGGACAATCCACCATGGGGGAAAAATGGGCATTCCCCTCATGTACCAGTGTGATAATGATGTTTCTTCTTGCCAAAGTCTCAGCCCAGGCATTTTTACCTAGTTTTGTAAAAGGGAGGAATGAAAGCATCTGTCTATTGCTAGGTGACTTGAGAACATAATTTCCTGATCTTTAAACCTCACAAACTGGCTAGGTTGCATACAGCTTCAGCGATGTGGCATGGGGGGAAGGAAGAGAGCAACAGTGCAAGGATGCTATGGGAGCTTAAATAATTAGTCCTACACCCTTTCCAAACAGAGTCCAGCTGTTATTTCCCTTCTGTTCTAGAAACTGTGAGCTGACATTCTTTGTGGGTGAAGTGTGGAATTATTCTCTCCCCCCATCCCTGCTATTTCTTACAGTGCTAAAGCACTGCTGCAAAATCTGTTCTTACAGGACAAGTGAAGAATATACTCTGACAACTGTTAAAAAAAATGTAGCTGTTAACAGATCATTCATGTATAAGCGCAAAATCTTTTTTCATATTATGGTAAATTAAATAAGAGCTGGGTAGAAGAACCCCGGGATGCGTCTGTTTCACAGTCTTTTACAGTAAAATAATACGTCTGCAGACACTTCAGTGTTGGAGACTTGCATAATTTCCCCAGCCATCAATATCATGGGTTTGGGATGTATTGTACAATGTATAAAGAGAACAGTTAGTGAGTGAATAGTGTGTAACCCAGCAGCTCACCCTAGTGCACACACAATTTTAAAATAATAAAAATATTAATAATGAAGTCAGCAGAAAATTTTGAAGACTAATGCATTGTACTGTAAGATAACCTTAGGTGTCCTACTGACAAGGATGGGAGTTCTTTCCATTGTATTTCAGTAGCTTTGCAGGCAGTATGACCCCTTTATAACCTCTCAACCTGGCCACTAAAATTTGCCTATCTAAATTCCAACAACTGATATAACGAAAGCAACCAGCTCCCACAGGTTTTCTACAGTCTGGATGATGTGCCCTCGGTTTCTACCATAGGCATGTCAAATTGTGTCAGATTATGAACTCCATAAAGCTGCCCAACTATCAGTTCTGGGTACTGGTTAGAGATACGCTCACAAGCAATTATGAAATCACAGGGAAGTTGAGTTATTATGCTTTTTTTATTTCCAGTGAAACCAAAGTATACTACTGCTGTGATCACAGAACGTCTTCACATTTGATGCAAATATGAAAGAGCTATGTACAAAGTAATCAAGTGGCACTATTTTTCAACAAAAAGAAACAACCCAAGCCTCAATTATTATATAATGTAAAACAGGTTATATGCATAACATCTGTAAGCTCCAACTGCACTGCAGTTGCATTACCTTGAACACAAGTGCCACATTAATAATGATCATTCCTTAAGAAAAATTTAATATAAGCATTAGACATTAGTTAACAGCGACATGTTTTACTGAGGAAAACTAGTGCAAGCTTTTACTCCTTTTAGTCTGATAATTCTAGCTCTAAATGGTTTCTAAACCATTTAGAAAGGTCATACATTCTCTTTCTAAACTAGTATACTTTAAAGTGTTTTTAATATATATTTATATTTATATATATATACTTACATATAAACCAATTTCACATTGTAATTAAACAGGAGAAATTTACAGTAAAATTTGATGGTTCAAACTCTCTTTTCAGATGTTCGTTTTATTGTGTTCCTGATGTACTGTGGACTGAAGGAGTAGAATCATGATCAGGCAGGAAGGTAACTGTGGGAATAGATGTCTCTGGAAGCACAGGCGCAAGCACATGGCGGCATACAGGACACGTTCCGGACTAGATGAAAGAAAAGACCATCGATCAGTTGCAAGGCAGCTACAAGAGGGCCAGGTATGCAAGAATGCCAAAATGCAACACCTCAAATAAACGTAGATTTGCAGGTGTGAACCATGAGTGAGCGAAGCAGCCTGTTTGCTAACCTAAGACCACAGTCTTTGTGTACCTGCTTTGTAGGTGTCATGCCATTTTCAGAGGGATTTCTCTGGAATAAGCAAATTGGGAGACTGCCTTTGGTAGAGGTAGTGAAACATCAAACATAGAATGATGAAATGTAGTATTACTTGTGTTCAATATTTTAAGAAGGTTCCTATCACTAGATTTTTTGTTTAAAGTTCGCTACTATGTGAAATAGGCAAAATTCATTTCAGAAAGCTAAATTCTAATAGTTTTCCGGCAGAAAGCCAATCTATATGCAACACTGCACTCACTCCCCTCCCCTCCCCCCTGACTAGTGTCTTGATGAGGGCAGGTTAAGTTAACACCTGTTGCCCCAGCAAACGTTGAAATCTCAGGAATTTGTTAGGGTCAAACCACAAATATAATGTCAAATTTTCCAATATAAAAGGCCTAAAACATTACTGAAACAATTATCTCTAACCTGTGTTTCACTGTAATCAAACTTTATAGTAAAGCTGTGAAATTTGCAAATATTCCAGAAACTTTGGGGATGATAGTCTGGGATCTACTTGTAGGTCTCTGAGTAACTTGCTGTAGACCAGCAAGGACTGCTGATTCCCAACTGTTTAACAATAGCAAACACAGACACACTACTTTCCCACCTTAATTAGGCTGCTGAAAGAAAGAAAGAAAGCTAACCAGGAGTGAACTTGTGTGTGGAAGGACTGTTACTTAGGTTCAGTTCAGCTACTGAAAACAAATGCCTAGGATCAAACTGAACTGATCTTTATATTCTTTCAATACTAAGTTGAAGTATGACAATCACCACCAGCAGAGCTTTTCTGCCTTTAAACACAAGAACAATTGGATCTCTAGTCAATGAAGCATTTAAAAAATAATTATCATGGCACTGAACATATTCATGTAAATAGACTGGATAAAACAATGCACTTTTACTTATACATTTAAATCTAACTTCAAAAAAGAGCATTATTATGACTGTATGTTTGTTTGGCATCTTCACAAAGTAAAACTGAAAGCAAGTAGGAAGAAAGCCATGTCCACTGAGTATCGTCAATGTTTCACATAAATTATGAGTTTTAAAGGAATTTGTTAGATTTCAATGCAAATACACACCTTTTGCAACCAAAGTGTTATGCAGGGCTTATGAAAGAAGTGATGACATGGAAGTTCTGTTACAATTTCTTCTTTGATATACTCGCTGCAGCAGATAGCACAGCACTGCTCCTGACCTACAGCTTAGGGAAACAAAGTACATATCAGCCCTGCACTTTCAAAACCTAGGAGATCTCAAAGATTAAGGTGGCACAATTAGAAATATAAGCCTTCTAAGCATAAAGCTTTTGAAACTGGCCTCTAGTTCTAATTGCGGGTCAGATACTGCCATGCTAAAGCATGCAAAAGAAAAAAGAAAAAACCCACAGGCCGCCATTATTTTAATCACAATTTGACCGGAGTTATCTCATTTATGCTTACCATTGTGATCTTCTGTTATAATAATCTGTGGCAGACAGTCTATGCTCTCCTTACTAGCTGGTGGATGGGCCTGCTCAACATCAATTGCGAGGGACTCTAAATGTGCCAGAGCGGTCTAAAAAGATGCATAAGAAGCCATTTCTGTTATGCATAAGACAGATATAATTTATTCCTTTTTTAAAAATCCATTTAAAAGGGTTGCATGAAGCTCAACAACTGTAGAAAAGGATGGGTACAAATTGACATGCTTCTACATTTCCCCTCAGAAATGCTAAATTGATATAATACGTAGCAGAGATCTGGTTGTAAATATTAATCTCTGAGATTTAATTAAAGAATAAAATTTACTCCTTAATGAACATGAATCTATATTACTAAAGTGGATGAACCATCTGTCATCTTTTACTTCAGCAGGGGAGAGCGGTCCAAGCTTCACTGCCTTAGTAACAGCATGGCGCTATCATGGATTAGTCTCTCATTTCAACCAATCACAGTTGTTACCAGTTCAACTTTCAGTTACAATAGTGGTTGGCATAGTTTAATGCTGCTATGGGGCAGGTTATTAAGTCATGCTTCTAAAACATACGCTTCCCTCTTTGTGCCTTGCCCTAGGCAGCTACAGCTTCCTTTGCCACAACTTTGCTATGCTGTCCTTCTCCCCAAAATTGACTGTCCATGGTGCTCAGGGGGGAAGCAGTGGTTACATGCAGTATAATCTCTTAGGAAAATGGAAACCAGATGCCATGGACTGGTTTGCACATACAGAATGAGCTGCAGATAGGTGATCAGGTGGTTCAATTGGGCTGCAGAATTAGGAACTTGCCTGTGGCGCCACACACTTTGAAGATGCCTTTGTTCAATATTACATCAAGATATGGTCTAAAAATTGAGAAACTCACCCACACAAAGGCTATTATTATTTAAACAAGATTTCGTATGTAACCTTCATTCGGTATGTGGCCAAGATAACCAAACCCCTTTCCATAACCAGAAGAATGCAGTACATTTTTGCTCTGGGGTCTAACTGCTTAGACTACATCCGTAGTTCCAATTAAGTTCTGACTGATTATGCATTTTGGTGAAAAGATGCCAAATTTCACCTTCAACACTGCGTCGCAGTGCTTAGTGAAAAGGTCCATAAATTTACATTACTTCCCCAGAAAAATACTAGAATGGCATTATTATTCATCATTTACAAAGAACTTTGCAGTTCTTCAATAAAAAATACATCATAGGAATATCTAAATCTACATATTCTTTTAATACATATTTATTCCATTAGACTACTTGCTGTTGTTTTAACTTAATATATTTTAAAAGGGAAACTGTTAGAAAGTCTGAGAGAAAATATGTTCACTTACTCAGGAAATGAAAACAAATATAGTACTTTGCGTTTATATTGTGGATTTTGAGTGCTCAAAATGTTCCACATACATGTCTTCTGCAATCCCCACAACAGCTATGTAGGGCAGGCCAAGCTCTTCATATTGTAGATATGGGGCTGAGAGGATAGTGAGTTGCCCACAGCTTCTTAGTGAGTTAAAGGCTAACCAAACAAGCTTTTGGAGCCAACACCACTAGTATTATGTTAAGCATACAACTCTAATATTCAGATTTGTGCCAAACATGGTTTGGTTATTTGTTCTCAGGAAGAGTAACAACTGTAGCAATGGACCTACGTTGTGCTTTCAGAAACCTGTCGGCCACTTAAGGTAAGCTGTACTAAAAACTGCTTGATACAGGTTTTAAGAAGCTTTAAACACTTCTCTTGATGAAATTTTTCCTCAAAACACATTTGCAACCACATTCATTTGTGCACCTGCCTTTTTGCTTTTGGATGTTTCTATGGCTGTTATTGGGATGCGGGTGGCGCTGTGGGTAAAACCTCAGCACCTAGGACTTGCCGATCGCATGGTCGGCGGTTCGAATCCCCGCGGCGGGGTGAGCTCCCGTCTTTCGGTCCCAGCTCCTGCCCACCTAGCAGTTCGAAAGCACCCCTAAGTGCAAGTAGATAAACAGGTACCGCTTTATAGCGGGAAGGTAAACGGCGTTTCCGTGCGCTGCGCTGGTGCTGGCTCGCCAGAGCAGCTTCGTCACATGACCCGGAAGTGTCTCCGGACAGTGCTGGCCCCCGGCCTCTTAAGCGAGATGGGCGCAGAACCCCAGAGTTGGACACAACTGGCCCGTATGGGCAGGGGTACCTTTACCTTATGGCTGTTATTGATCCTCCCCCCCCCTTTTGCATTATTGAATGGGTATCACCGAGTTTGGTGCACAAGTGTTGTGAATCACAAGTGTTTCTGAAACCTAGGGCAGCTGACAATTGTGTCCTTGAAGATAACAAATAATTGAGACAAATTCTGCTGTTGTAGTAAAACTACTATTCTGCTTGTAGTTGTGCAAATATCTGATAGAACTTCATACCATTAATCCACCAGGCAATACAAATATTTCTCAGTAACATCATTCTCTACCTACTTTTCTTACTATTAATTATTATTATTAGCAGCTGCCTCTGCTTGTAGCAGAGTTCTGAATTTTCAAAATTGAGAAGGTTGTCAAAATATGAGAACATTATGAACTATTCTAACTAATTTATCCTTAGAGAAGAGCCTGTCTGTTATATTTCCTCTGATTTCATGTTTATCTTTTCTAACTCCAATTTCACTGCACAAAATTCCACTGTTTTCAAAGAAGGCGCAACACACGTAATGAGATGTTGTGACATGCAGTCACCAACCCTTCCACCTTGACCTACAGGGGGTGTTCTCCCCCAGCCTTTCCACTAGCAAGCCAACACAGAAAGGTTATTCACAATGAAAATAATGTATTGCAAACAGTAAAAAATGCAGATCCAGCTACTTGGAGATGCCACACTTATTAACAAACCTAGAATGATGGGAAGCATAACACACAAACAAATCTAAAAGATTAAGTTTAACTACATAAGCATGATGACAGAGTTACTTTAATGATTTGGAAGATTAATCTTCTAAACATCTAAAAGAGTTAAAGAATGAAGGAAATAATCTTTGCAGTAAGGCTGCCATCCTAAACTTAAAGAAGGAATAAAACAATTCAGTGTTATGTTATAATAAACATTTGCTTACTTTTCCCTTTATAACTGCTTTGCAACACAATTTCAGTATTTAGTTTAAGTCAGTGGTTCCCCAACTTTTTTCCCTATGGACCACTTGAAAATTGCTGAAGTTCTTGGCAGACCACTTAAATCATTTTCCTGTCCATTGTAGCAACTGTAATTCCACAGAATTCAAATCATAATACAATAAAATGAAATGAATGAATAAATGCACAATTCAAATCAATACAAATATTCAGTATGATGGATGTGATGTCTCCCATCTTCATCCACAAATTCATATATTTGCCACAGATGATCTGCTGGTATAGGACGTGCAGCGCACACTTTCAACATAAAACCCATCAGCAGGGCACCAGAACTATATTTAACTTAGATAAAAGTTCTGTTGATGAGGGTAGAATACACCCAATACCATTTCTAGATAACTTAGGAATGTAGGAAGTATTCAAAAGTATTCAAAGAAGCTAAATAAATCTAAATAAATAAATAAATCCACAGCCAAAACTGCCACAAAATGACAAGTACCAATTATGGTATGGCATCAACATTTTACATTCTGCCTTTTCCAGGAAATTAGACTACCTGCGACTCCAAATCTTACATGCAAAGGCTCTTGTGCACTGTAATGTTCTTGGAAAGGTCACTGAATCTTACAGGAAGGCAATGACTCACTGAATCAGAAGAAAATAGAAAATAAAAATGCTGGCTCTCTGCCATATTAAGTACATCATCTACATAGATGGAATGGAGGCAATCAGAAATTGCAAGTACCTGTGGACACTGGTAAGTCATTTATATGAACATGCTTGTTATTTGAAAAGATTTAGTTTAGTGATGAAGAGGAGTAAAGCATTCTTAGCTAAGGAGTGAAATTTCAAAACATTCCAGTTCCTATGTAAACTAATGGCTGTTTCTGGTACAGTTATTGTAGCTATAATGTTAAATTCTTGCACAGCTCCTCTCTGATAAAGAAATACTAAGCATGTTATTTAAATGCAGCAATAGAAAAGGAATCTTTGTTTGAAGATGTTGAAAAAAATATTGACAAAGGAATAAAACATTCAACTGAAACAGAGTAGTGTTAACTAGTATATTTTCGCCACCTGGAAACAACTTCTCCAAGTTACTTATTTCAAGAGTACAGTGTTTTAAAGGAATTCACCTAAATGTTGATAACACAATGCTCAAAGTCAGTTCTGAATTTCCCTCTTAGTTCAGTTTCTTGAACTTTGTTCTATCTTCTAAAAAGAGTTGTTAGAATCTCAAACTTTTCTCTTTTTATAAGATATGAAATAAGACATTGAAAGAAATACACAGAAGTCTTTGCAAAAGGACAAATGGCTTGTTTTTAAATCAAATAAAATGGAGAACTCATTTATTAACAAGGAATCACACAACTTATTTTTTATACACAATGAAATCCTGTGAGACCAAAGCAAGACATAACACATGCATATACTACCCACACACATACATAGGCACGCAAATTCTCTCTTTTTCTGTCTAAAACTACTACATGTACTTTGAAATGTATAATTTATTCAACTGAAGTTGGGAATGCAAGTTTCATTTATGATACTGTAATAACAATTACATATTAAAATATCACTATCCTATTTTTAAAGAATATTAAGTATATTTGTTTTAAACTATTGTTGATTTCTGCGGTCCCTCAACATGTAATAAAGATTGTATGTGTGAACAAAAAAAAGTTTGCCATTATTCTACGAAAGAAAATATCAAAAATGTCTAAGGAAATGAGTACCAGCATGTGATATCTTAGGGCAACTGCCAGGGTCCACCACAACTGCTGCCAAGTTCTTGCTACCAATACTACCAATAAGCCTGTCCCAGGTAGCATGCTGGTAGCAATACCAACAAGGGACTTGTCATACTTCCCCGAGCTTACTGGTGCCCTGATCTTTAGGAAAGCTAGTGTGGTACAGTGGTTAGTATTAGAGACAAGGTTCAAATCCATAAATAAATATTTTCTGTAATCTATGGGTGTGGCTGTCTCTCAACCTTCAACATAAGTTATGCTTCAAAAAGTTGCATAGAAACTGAAGGTCTTAACTCCAAGAAATTAGTTTTCCCCTGGCCAGTATTTTACTAAATGGAAAATCTACATCTCAACAGCTTTTCCAATTATGCATTCAGAAGTCAAAGTGCTTTCTCCCTCCCAATTATGCATTCAGAAGTCAAAGTGCTTTCTCCCTCACTTCAGACATTAGCCAGAAAAATGTGTTTTCCGTTTATTCATGAACTCAACAGGGAAAGCACAGAACTATCTAGCATCTTGGGGCACGAGAAGAAAAGGGGGGGAAAGCAGGAAAAAAAAGATGTGCAGGATAATTTCAGCAGTGACAGGCACAATGATTTATTTATTTGAATATTCAGCAGACCTGAGCCCAAAAGCTCAGGACTGGTCTATATGCAACCTTGATGCTCTTTGCTCTACCCTCTACACTCTCATTTCTCCAGTAGTTGACCACATGTCCAAATTCTGAATCTACATTTTTGAAAACCTAAATCTGCATTATTGATTTAGACCACTAAACACTGCTATTTTAATAACGCAACAACATACAACTCAGGCAATTCCTAATTTAATTTTACTGTGTAGAGAGAATACAAAAGGCAACTGGCAAAAATGTCAATAAAGTGGCATTAATAGCAGAGCATGCAGACCCAATTGCAGGACATCCAGGGAACATGTGAATATATTACAGATTAGTATTATATGCATTACAATTGTATGTATTATATGCTCCCTATGCTGTTCAAGGGGTTGTGACAGAATTCTCTAGTTCGAACATATCCAAAATACTTTCCCAGGCTATAATGGAAAGGATCCAAGAAACTATCAGGTTCACAATTGTTACAACAGGTGGCTGAAATATTGTTAGCCCAAATAAATAGAATTGGGTTTAGTTTTGGGAGGAGGACTTTTCAACCTTCCTTGTTCACTAAAAAGCAGAAGTTTATTATATTTCTCATCACATTAAGATTCCAAATGTTCAATGACCTCTATGATCTCTAAACTTGGATCTAAATTACAGTGGTGCCCCGCAAGACGAATGCCTCGCAAGACGGAAAACTCGCTAGACGAAAGGGTTTTCCGTTTTTGAGCTGCTTCGCAAGACAAATTTCCCTATGGGCTTGCTTCGCAAGACGAAAACGTCTTGCAAGTTTGTTTCCTTTTTCTTAACACCGTTAATACAGTTGCGACTTGACTTCGAGGAGCAACTCATAGAACGCAGTGTACATAGTAGCCTTTTTTGAGGTTTTTAAAGACTTTGGTGATTTTTGAAGCTTTTCCAAAACTTCTTTTGCAGCCATTTGGTAAGTTAAGCTTTTAAAACTTTTTTTGGGGGGGTTGGATTTTGGGTTGGGGTGTTTGGAATTCAAGGACTTGGTGTTGGGAAGGGGTTTGCAAGAATCTGGAAGTTTGCGGGTTTTTTTCTGCATTTTTATGATTTTCTGTGACCATTGGGCCACTCTGCTGTTTTTTTAAAAAAATTCTGGATTTGAATTTCTGTGTGCTGGGTGGCTGGGGGAACAGTTGGGGAGGGGTTTGCAAGAATCTGGAAGCTTGTTTTTCCCCCTGCATTTTTATGATTTTCTGTGACCATTGGGCCACTCTGCTGTTTTTTTTAAAAAAATCTGGATTTGAATTTTGAAATGCTCTTTACAGTATGTGTGACTTTAAAGAGCACTTAATAAACTCTTGTTGTACCAAATTTGGCTTTGTTTGGACTTTTTTTGACCATAGGAACGCATTAATTGATTTTCAATGCATTCCTATGGGAAACCGTGCTTCGCAAGACGAAAAATTCGCTAGACGAAAAAATTCATGGAACGAATTAATTTCGTCTTGCGAGGCACCACTATACTTGTGATCATATGGCCTGTTCCGGTACTTATCCTAATATAATTTAGTTATTTCAAAAACTAACTTAGGAAATAGCTGAATTTACCCATATCCAAAAGCCTGAAACTGATCTCCTACATAATATTCAATGTAAATACAGAACAAACCAGAGAAACTGTTATACTGAACAGCAGGTGCCAAAAATTTGATACCAAGGGCTATCTTTGTATACTCTGATAATACTTTGGTAATACTAAAGGATGAGCCACACTATCTACACACCACCCCAAGGTCACCAACCCTTCCCCTTCCCCTGACCCTACAACAGGTGAGGCAGGGACCTTGTGACATGATGCTGACCTCCAGAGGTGCCCCGAACGCCTGCAAAGCACAATGCAACTGCATGGAAATCTTTCACCTTCTTTTCCAGCTCCTAAATCAGGGAGAGCCCTTGCCCTTCTCTATGTTCTATAGAAGAACTGCACCTCTTTCCAAAGTAGCAATAACAAACAGCTTGGACCAACTTGGCTTTAAAAACATACGAACAAATAAAAACTTGACTTAAAGCAGAAACCAATGGGTGATTTGATCAGATGCCGCAGTACTGCTGAACCTAGGGGAGGTGGTCAGTCCCTTAAATGGGAGACTAATGGCAGCCATGTGTAAGATGCTATACAAATATAAATATTTTTTAAAAAAACCTTGGCTGGATCTAGACACGTCAAAGAAGCGATTCAGTTAAACGCATCGTAAACTCATACAGGGAAATCCGGTAGGGAAAGACAGGACTCCACGGCACCACCTGGTGTCAAAGTATTATATCGCATATACAACACATATAAAACGCTTTACCAACCTAGCTGAGTCCCTTGACTTAAACCAGGGGGAGTATATAAACACATTCCCATGCTATAAGGATAAATGAACAAAACTGAAATAATTGAGACATCCATCCAGCAACATATACATTATAAATAGAAATATTGCCAATGTTTTAACATTGCATTTAAGACAATGCAGTACGCTCAATGCTCATAGAGCACACGTTGAACAGCAAAATCCTATTTTAATCAGAGCAAAATCGAAGGGCAGAATAAAGCTGATGCAGATATCTTTATACTCCCTTTCCTTATTTCTTCCTAAAGAGCAGTCCAAATTCCTTACACCATTTGCAGCCTACCTCCTGAGGGCTGAGCCTTTTTGCCACCGCCCTATTTTGGGGATAGGGGCCTATGTTCGCCTCCACTGCCAGAGCCACTGTGCCTAGGAGTACCAATTACTTGGAGTCACTGTGGGGACAGTGCTACGGCACTCAGGTGCTTCTTGTGGGCTTCCTCACAGATGCGATAAATATGAAAAAGCCTAATCCACAGTGGATGTTCGCACTAATATAAATATAGCTGAACTATGTTTTCCCTCAGTTTAACTAATCTTAAAATGAAAACTTAGAAAAGTATTGCATTACCTCCATGGCCTGTGCCAGTCGTTCTTCCAGGGCCATATATGTAAGGAACTGGGGATCCACATAAGAAATGGCTTGAGCAACACCCAAGCCATCACCAAATTCATCAAGCAGCCTAGGGGAAAAGCAGGATTTATGTTCTCAATTGCAATTAGATACCATATTCCCCCCCCCCCGCCCCAAATTGGGCTGTTGCAAGGGGCTGCATACATTTGCCTCCCATGTTTCAGAACTTCAGACAGTAAGTTCTCAGTCAGAAAAACAAGGCACACAAAGAAACCTACTACTGCCAGGAAATATAACCATTAAACAGACTTGGCCTGGAGATCTTAGAAGATGCATGCAACACAAAATATTTTCAATACGGTACCTTAACAGCCAAAATTTCTTAAAGTTTTGGCTCTTTTAGGGTGACTATAGTTCCTCTGGGAGGAATAAGTGAAAATGTTGTCTCCAGGGCTGAGCTTTAAGAGGTTTTTCTTGGATTTTTCTTTTAAGTTGTGCTAATGAACACTTAGGTGGGAACTAGAGCTGAGCAGTCATGCAGAAAGTAAACACAAAAAATATTTTCCAAAAGAAATTAAAAAATTGTCCAGTAGCACCTTAGAGACCAACTAAGTTTGTTCTGGGTATAAGCTTTTGTGTGCATGCACACTTCAGAGTTGGTCTCTAAGGTGCTACTGGACAACTTTTTAATTCCCACCCCCCCGACTGCGTCAGACCAACACAGCTACCTACCTGAAACAAAAATATCCGCAGCTACAGGTTTTTTACTATGGTAATCCGTTAGTGAGTGGCAGACCAAATATTCCCCCTTTGCACAATTGGCCTTGCCAGTAAGTCCCCCATGTATGCCAAGGAAACGGGTGGCATATGAGGTCAATCCTTAGCAATGGCCCAACATGCTAACACACCTTCCTTTTTGACATGGACATACAGTGTATAAGCATGACTTGCCTCATTATATATATCTAAATTTTATTACGGTCTCAGACCAGTTTTACATCCCATACTAAATGAGCATAAAACACAGTAGAATTAAGTTTGGATTAACCTTCCCCTACCTTCATCATGCAACTCTCCAAACTCCCTCCCTCAACCCCACACATTTTAATTTGCACAGAGGAAGGAGGGAAATCACAGTGCTAGATAGCAATTGGGGAGCTAGCAGAACCTCTCTCTATGTTGAATTTGATTCAGAGACCCAACAGATGCTGAGACCCAGTTCATAATACATTTCAGTAGTTAAGTTAACCTGTTAGAGCAGCACAGAGTGTTTACTATGCCATTTCTCAGTTAGAATCATAGAATCATAGAGTTGGAAGAGACCACAAGGGCCATCGAGTCCAACCCCCTGCCAAGCAGGAAACACCATCAGAGCACTCCTGACATATGGTTGTCAAGCCTCTGCTTAAAGACCTCGAAAGAAGGAGACTCCACCACACTCCTTGGCAGCAAATTCCACTGTCGAACAGCTCTTACTATCAGGAAGTTCTTCCTAATGTTTAGGTGGAATCTTCTTTCTTGTAGTTTGGATCCATTGCTCCGTGTCCGCTTCTCTGGAGTTGATTTTAATGCATGCAACATGTGAGTGGTGAATGTCTCAAATAAGCATCAACACATAGTAAAGTACCTCCATTCCACGTCTAGATCTTCACTCATGCTGGAATCGTCTTCCAGATTGTTGTTTCCATCCAACATGAAAAAGCCAGGATGCACAAAATGGCTCACTTGGTCATTTTCCTCATCGCTGCTGCTTTCAATTTCTTCATGATACTGCAACCAAGGAATTTCGCCGTCCTCTAGGGTAGTCTGTTCCCTTTATACAAAAATGAGAAAAGCTATACAAAATGAAAGTAAAACTACATGTAAGCAAGTGTACAGAGAGTGCTCTTCATTGGTGAATGCTCATATTATGTCCAGCTGCTAGCAAACAAAACCTGGCAGCCGTTTTCCATAGAAAGCAGTACATCCTATTAAGTAACGATTCAACAGCAATAGCTAAAATACCATTATTTCTATTTTAAAAATTGAGAGGGAGTAAGTATATACACATGAATGATAAAGATCTAATGTCTGCATAAAGTGCTCTGGTGATGTGAGCCAAAGTCCTAGCACATTGTGCAGGGAAGATATCACCCTACTACTCTCTTTGTCAAGTCCATTCACGAATCTATACTTGAATTTTGTATTCTCCTACTGCTATAGCACAATAATGACAGTTTAACATGCTTTTAGTTTTTCAAAAAAATACTTTTAAATGTTTTTACTTCATTTTTAATTGTTTTATTACTTTGGTGGTTGCTGTCCAGGGCTCCCATGGGAGGAAGGTCAGAATATAAATTTACTAAATGAATCATTTTTTTTAAAAAAAAGCCCTTCACTGTGTTTATTGAACGTTCTTCCTTGCATAATTATTGACTGATATTGTTTTCCCCATTTTATAAACAGAATACAAGACAAAGGTTTTATTGTAACTGAAAATTAGTGATCTTGCTCTGGAGAGGAATAAATCTGCCATCTTCACAAAATGCAAATCATGAAGGTAGGCTGTAATTGGATCATTTGGAAGGCAGATAGTCAGAGAAGTGAGTAGGACAAGTTAAAGCAGCTGGCTAATAACAAGAGCAGAGGAATTTTTTAATCAGAGCTGTAATTTCTAGCTCTATTAAATTTATTTTTCATAAATATTGATAGTAGTCAGAAAATATCCCTTTTGGAATTGAGCCTGGATAGTTCAGCTGGTTAGAGCATGGTGCTGATCATGCCAGGGTTTCAGGTTCAATTCCCGTATGGGACAGCTGCATAGCCCTGCATTGCAGGGGGTAGGACTAGATGATCCTCAGGGTCCCCTCCAACTCTACAAATCTATGCTTCTATGAATTGTGGAAGTTGAAACATCCACTAAGAACATTATTATAGTAAAAAGCAAATTATATATTACAAAAGGAGCAACCTGCACAAAGTAATGCACTTATGATTAGGACACTAAATGGGTACAGCTTTTTTCACCTTTTCTACTGACCTACTGCACAAGGAATGAGCCTCAAACTCCTGAGAATCTGGCACCGTGTGTTAGAATGAGGAGGCAGACTCAATCAGCACTACACAAGTGGCTACACAACTCTACTACTTGTACTGAGTGACTGTGGAGGGCCTTAGTAGAACTATTACCTGCTCTTTGTAGAGTTCCTGCTCTTGATCCTTCTGTGTGAAAAGACAATGACACATTGTGGGCTTATACAACCCTGCATCTAATAGTGTCCCTTCAATGATGAAAAACTATTTGATTCAGCACAGGCTTCCATTAGCGAAAGAGAGGGGAGAGCATTTTCACATATTCTTCCTTCCCTCTGCAGCAACCTGCACACACTCAAGGGACTGTAGGAGAAAGCAGAAGTTTGTGAAAATCACTTTCCTCTCACCTTTTAACTCACAGAAGTCTCCACTGGATCAAAAAGTCTTCTGTCAGCAAAGAAATACAATTAGATATAACCCTTTGCTTCCCCATCTGTCTTAATACAAAACAAAACAACCCAAGCTGTGTGTGTGTTTCTCTTAGCTTGAAATGTGAAGATTGAGCAATTCTCTTCTTGATGAGAAAAAAGGCTAAATAAAGCAGAGTTTATAAACCTACATGAGACTAATTCTGGCTAAATTAGCTGCAACTGAAATTTATCTTGCTTACTGATCACAGTCTGCTGTCTTTATATAAAGGTCAACAATATCAAATGATTTACAAGACCTTCATATTTTTGTGTGTGAAAATAGGGAGAGGGAATAATTTAAAGTTAGCTGCTATTTAAAAACTGTCAGCACTATGTATTCAAGAACACACGTACCTCTTATCTAAATCACTCTGTAAGAGTCACGATTTGTTATATTGTAGTCATGTGACATGAAAAAGGTCATTAGCATGCAAGTAAAACAATTTCCTTTTCAATTGCTTTATTGTGTAGGTGGACAAAATTATGGTCTTAACTATATTTTTCTTTCCCTTTACAAAAAAAAAAAAATCTCAACCAATGTTTTAGAATGAATCACACGATTCTTCACTACTTATTTGCAACAAGACATTCCTCCTGCTCTAGTCCAGTTCCCCAAAAGTGACTGACTTAAGCGGAAAGGTCATTAGAATCCCTGCTAATGAATTCTCAAGCTCTGTGCAACTGGTTGTACACAAGCATGACAACTGGCACAGCTCTAAGAAAACGTGACAGTTTTATCAGAGCAAGAATTCTACATGCTCTTAAATCTAACCAGAAAGGAAAGCATCAACCAAAATATTTAATATATGTTCTGTCTAGCAGAAGTGAAGAACTGGAGGGAGTGGTCTAAGCAGCTTTATTGCAGCAACAAAAGCCCACTTTGAGGTTTTCAAGTATTTTATATAACAAATTTACACCTTGGTATTGAATATGTAATGCAGCACATGCACCTGCAAAAATCACATAATCAGTGACACTTCTCTTATAACATAACCTTTCTGCTATGGCCAAATTGTAACCCAGCAAGGTAACAACAATGGGGGAAAAACCATCTCACCATATATAATTTTTCTTACAATTTGATATCACAGGCTTTTTGTTCGAGACTCCCTTTTGATTTCCCCAGTAAAAGATGCAGAAACAAGTCAACGTAGGGCAAAAGCTAGTTTTAGTATGATTCATGGTTGTCCTAAAAAGATTTAAATTCCTGAATGGCCCTTTAAACTGTGCTTTCACAATGAAACTACTGAATTAGATAAATTTATCTTACATCCATCATTACTGGCTTTCTTGAGAATAAACAAGTTTAATAAGGTAAGATAACACAGAGATTTTAGTGATACCATACTAAATTAGGAGCAGAATGAGGCCACATTAATGTTTTAGCTGTGGATGTATCAGTGGATATACCAATGTTATTTATTAGCACTATAACTACTCTTATTGCCTGCAGCCCTTATTGCTCTAATCTTGCCAGCTCACCTTGCAGCTAGGTGATAAAAATAAATAAATATGTGAGACAAAAAGCTATGTGGCACAGCTTTATTGAGACTGTAACACTTCAGAATGCAGATAGAGGAAATGTATGTTGGAATGGTCCTCTCTGCACCAAAACAGAAACAGCTGGTTTCTCTCTTATGTGATCATTTTCTAAGTGCTCTCTTGCTTACAAAAATTCCGAGTTACTTGTTGTTACCTTGACATTTTTGACAGTTCATAAATTATAAAGCAAGTAAAATGGAGAGAACAGCCACTTCAACAGTGATATATAAAGCTGACTGCATCCTGGAGTAGGCCCTGTACTTGTAAGTTACTGAGGCACAGAGCAAGAACAGTTATCTGTAAATGCATAAAAAGGATTTAGCACACAAAGAGAACACTCTGTAACAGTGACATCATTGTGCACCATCACATACCCTTCAACTGGTGTCCAGTAAACTCGGCACATTCCATATAATGATTACATTAGTAACAAACTGCAACGTTCAAGTCACCATCTATGCACTTGAATAGAACTAAACCAAAGCTGAATTTGCTGCTTGACAATCACACCCCACCAACCCCCAGGAGATGTCACTATCTGGAGTCTTCATTACCCGTAACACTTCAACTTGACAAAATCATGGAAGATTGGACTGGGCACACTTGGCACGTCTACAAAAATAAACTACGCCGGAGTAAGCAGATGCTGCTTTTCATGGTAAGGGAGAGTCATAGTGTATTGAAGCTATAGATATAGGCAATCCTTGCTTTGCACGGGAGTTATGCTCCCGTGCAAATGCCTATGCATGTCGGCGGGGCCTGCGTAAAGCGTTCCGCCCCAACCCCATTCCGCCCTTTTAGTGACATTTTGGTGATATTTTCAGGTCACTTCCAGATTCAGTGCCATGTACACACACACATCAAATGCACATAAATTGGTTGTTGCCTGCACACTGTATGTCACATATTCAATGTGCTGAAAGGCTGTAGGCTTATTGGTTCTGCTTCTCTAGCTCAGCTAAACCTTACTGATCACAAAATAGGATATCAGTGACCCCCAAAGCTGTTGATAATGCAGAGTATAGCAGAGCTAGTGAAGACTCCACAACTTGGGGGGGGGGGGCGGAATCAGGGAAGAGGAGATTGAAGTCAACATCTACTTGGAAAACCTTACCTGATACATACGGAAACCTATCCAAAATGGGGCTCCCAAAAGCTAATTACCGTATTTTTCGCTCTATAACACACACCCAACCATATCATGCACGTAGTTTTTAGAGGAGGAAAACAAGAAAAAAAATATTCTAAATGAAACAGTGGATGTATGATTTTTGTGGTTCATGCTGTGGCCACAGACATGTGATCTGACAGTGAGTTTGGAGTAGCCCAATGCAAAAATCCTGAGGATCCTCTGTAACCACCTTTTAAGTGGGGAGGGAAGGAAAAGCACTCAAGGGACAAGGAGCATGCGTGGGGTGGGTGGAGAAGGATGCTGCTAATAATGAAGAAGAGGGGTATAAGGGGAGAAGGCTCCTCTCCTCTCCCGCTTTGCTCCTTTAAAGCAAGCAGGCTCTGCTTTTCTCCCTCCTCCCCACTCATCCCCGGCTTAGCGAGCTGAAAAACTTTGCTGCTATTTAGCTAGCTGAGTGGAGAGGAGAGAGGGACAGAGAGCCTGCTCGCTTTAAAGGAACCAACCAGACAGGAGCCGCTTACACTTGTGTAAGCGGCTCCTCTCCTCTCCCGCTTTGCTCCTTTAAAGAAGCAGGCTCTCTGTCCCTCTCTCCTCCCCACTCAGCGGCTCTTCTCCCGCTTTGCTGTTTCAAAGCAAGCCACGGAGGAGGGAAGGGGAACCATGGATCCTCTGCTCACGACTGCAGCAGATCTCCCCCGCGACCCGTAGGCATTCCCTCCATAACACGCACAGACATTTCCCCTTACTTTCTAGGAGGAAAAAAGTGAGTGTTGGAATTATTTCAGCCAATGATCACATATGGAACAGTACATCATCATTAGGGGTTTTTTTAGCAGCAACTATCACAGTAAAGTGTACATAATACATCAATAATTCTTACTGAGTAGTACACTTCATTCTATAAGACAACATACCCTGCTTGGAAACCAAACTCATTATGTTCCTCTTCCACACCACTGCTGTCACTCTGCAATTCAGGTTCCTGCTCCTCTTTTCCTGGGAGAGTCTCCCAGCTCTCATCGCTGGAGGACTGATCTTTTACTGTCACAGCAAAATAGGAGGGCAGAGATGCAGACCATTCACCATCACTGCATTCAGAGCTGCAACAGAAGACATTCCATTTGCATTTACAATGCTGGTTGATTTTTACGTAGAAGTTAACATGCTGACTGTGATCTAGCCAAGCTAAGTATATTTCTGTCCCAAAAACTATAATGAGAGAAATTTAAGCACAAGATTAACTCTCCCATTGAAATCAGTGAGATTTGATCATGCTTAAAGTTTGGATGGATTGTGTGCCCATTGTATTTACAGTGGTACCTCGGGTTACAGACGCTTCAGGTTACAGACTCTGCTAACCCAGAAATAGTACCTCGGGTTAAGGACTTTGCTTCAGGATGAGAACAGAAATTGCGGGGCGGCAGCGGGATGCCCCATTAGCTAAAGCGGTACTTCAGGTTAAGAACAGTTTCAAGGTTAAGAAAGGACCTCCGGAACGAATTAAGTTCTTAACCCGAGGTACCACTGTACTGTTTCTCTATGCATTATGTCAGTACACAATACATTGCCGAAAACAAAATAAAAATAAAAATGCCTATCTTCCTTTTGGAGGACAAACTAAAAGCTGCCAATTCTTTTACTGATTCTGGTCAACAAAATTTTCTTTTCCAAATCCAAATGTTTTCAAGCCTCTAAATCATGGGCATCTAAAAGAGATCTCTGCTAATTGGAAACTGGGGGTTTGTCTTGCTATTTGGAGCTGGTTAAACAGAAAATGGGAGATAGCTCTTTCAGAACACTTTATATACCATAGCAAAGTAGTAGCAAAGTAGTTCAAGAGCAATCTAAACTGTAACTTGACTGTATAATTGCATCTTTGTACTTCATAATTGTTTGTTGTTGTTATTAAAGCCAATAAAATGCATATTTCAAAAAAATAAAACAAGAAACTGAAGGCATTTCTGCCCTGGCACGCTTTCAGTGTGTAATTGTAAATCTTGTTGTTGCATGATTTAACTGCTTTGATATTGTTGGTTTTGGTTAATTGCTTGTTTGTGCTGTATTTTATTACAGTTTTTTAACCTATTGTAAGTAAATAACAATAAATTACTTTTGAGAAATATACACTTGAGATGTTTAATATTTTAGCTCCTGGTCAATTTTCAATAACTGGGAGTGGGAAACATTTGCCAAATAACAAGTCTGACCCATGATTTTCAAACAAAATGAAATCAAACGAACAAGATTTATGTCAGAAAGGGTGGATTCAATGAACAGTACTATTTACAGTTTAATCCTAAGCCATTCCACATTTGTACAAGTATTGTGGCAATAAAGCTCCATGTGTAATAGTTTAGACTACAAATACTACCAGAAGCTATCAGCTTGGTCTGCTTCTCAGTTAAATAAAATAAATAAATAAGCTGCTTTTACAAGTTTTGATGAAGGTTCTATCTAAAAGCAACTAACCGAAATAGCTGGTTAGAATGTTGTAACAATCAAAGTACAGGCTACTGAGCTTCCCATTACTTATTCCCAAAATAGAAATGTATTTGAATAGCCATAAAATGTTTCTAGCATTTCCCGCAAAACACTTATATAGTCATTCATATACTACTTTGAATTTTTCTTAACCAGACCTGATTTCTACATTTAAAAATTCTAAGGAATGAAGCAGTTCTAACCTAATTGGCTGCAGACATATTTAAGACCCAGAACGAAAAGTTATCTTAAGACAATTACGCTTTATTTTTCTGACCAAGTTATGGGACAATGTGCAAATGTGACTTTTCCTCTGCCATATGTTCATGGCTTTGCTGAAAATCATTTAAACTAAGAAGTAATATGCTGCATTCCAATAGGTTTTCCAAGATTGTACTGCATTAAGTTGCTCCAACAGCGCAGAAGTTAAATATGATGAAATACTTCCATCTGTTCTTTATTCCCACTTGCAAAGGAGCACATGCTCATGACATGAGAGTAGTTCAATTAAAACAAAATACCCGAAGAATGAACAACTAGGGAGTTGGTGCCTTGATGGAATGAACTAGTAGATGCTGAATATAATTTTCATTCTCAGAAATACCGAAGTGGTTTGGGCACCTCTTATTTTAGGATACAGACCCAAAAGTGTGCATAGTAGCCCCTAAACAGTTTAATTGCTTTAACAGTTTTTCAAAACGCACCCTTCTCTATCACCCTTCCAATTATTCCTTTTCTTTTCCCAGTTGTTGAGCAATTTAGAAACAGGCCACCATTGTAAAATTCCAGCACATTTTAATTACATTTAAAATCCAAGTCTTCCTAATTACACTCCACAACAATACCCAGTTAGCACTGAGGGAATGATTAAAAGTGAAGCTGGAATGCAGCCAAATTAGAGAATCATTATGGATACATCTATTATTTCTTCTTTTACTTGGGTGTTTGAACAAATTAACTTTGTATCACAAAGTAGATTTAACATGGCAGAAACACATTTGCACTATTAATGAAGAGGTGCGTTTATATAGAGGAGAGCTCAGCACATGGAAATTTCATAGCTACTTTTCATTCAGGTCCAAGTTCCATGGAAAATGCCTTAAATATGCTAAAAAAATTAAAGAAAGGATAATGCAAAGGATATCCTACAGATACAGCTTTGAAACAGTTGTTTTCTTTATTTGAATTGGCAGTATATACTTTTATTAATAAATCAGAGGTGGGAGTTTGTGCACATGAGGATGAGTACAATGAGAAGGTGTAGAGTCCAACATTTCACCCCACCCATGCTGAAAACACCTTGCCCTACTCTACTTGATAGAACAATTTCCAAAAAGTATTAAAGATGCACATATTCCTGTGGCCTAACCCCAATTTTTATACCCATGAAGAATATATAGAATAATGAATCTGCTCAATTCCAGTAGGTGCATTAACACTGTATCTGCACACAGCTGGGCAAACTCAGGACAAGAGATAGATGTGTTCAAAGTTTGTGGTGCATTTGAAAAGGCTGCTAGCGATAAAGATTTTACTTCCACTTCACCTTCATTCCTAAATTTGTTTGTGTGGCTTCTTTTATGACTTCATTCTCTTTCTGTCATGTGGAGATAATGACTTACAAAGTTGTAAAGTGCTTCTGAAATATTAAGACAGCATTAACAGCAGTGAATATGCCACTAAAGAAAAAGAAAAATGCAGCTTTGCTTTTAGCAGATGATGCTAATAGTCCAAAAGTCTGGGTCAAAATACTTATGTCACAAGATATAAAGAAGTCTGGCTATCAAGAAATCTTACAAAAATTATGTTATTTCCAAAACTGCTGGTCTTATGAGTAACTGCTGAGGCTCTTAGGGCTAGCAGCTCCACCAAAAAACAAACAAAACAAAAAACTCACCACGTTTTGGCACCAATAATTATGTCATAAAGTACATAGTGAAAAGTATAAACATCAGATGGTACAGTCTGGAGTTTTCTTTCTTGGGGACCATTCCCTTTGGCAAAGATCAGAAAGGGGGAAATTGGGACCGTTAATTACCATATAAGGAATATGGGGAACTGGTACCATTTGGCAGATATCACCTTACATGGGGTCGGTCCTACGAGACCATTTAATATTGTCCTAACCTTAGTGATTTTCATTGTACAGGTATTCAGACATGTAGAAAATTTGAATTAAACTTTGCAGAAATTCTTACCTGTCTTCATCTTTGTTGGAGCTTGATAGATTTCTGCCAGAGTCTTCAAATTCATCCCAGAAAGCACTATCGTCCACTTTGCTTTTTTCTTGAAGTGTTATATTTTGCTTCCTTAGTTCACTTTTTATTTTCTTTTGAGCTCCTCCATAGTCTCTTGGATCAAAAAACATACTAGAATTGCTTTTCTCTTTGCTGTGTTTCAGGACACATTCTGTGTTACAGTGCTGGACATCCACATTCTCACTCCACCTTCTACTGCTGGTCTTTTCTTCCTCTTCATTCGAAAAAGACTGCTTCCTATCCAACTGGCTCACAGGATTTTGTTTTCTAACTTTGGGTCTTACGACCAGTTCTGATGAATTCTCTTGGTCTGTCTTCATAGTACTCAGTTCGTTACAAATTCCTATTTGTGTCCTAATTGTAGGATCAGCTGCATTTTTTTGCTGTTCCATATCAGAAGTAACACTAAGGTTATTTTTTACTAGACGCTCGTCTTCACTAGATGTTTTTACAAGTGTCTTATTTTGGTGAGCAGTATCCAATTCTAGGCTAGAATGTCTCTTGAAAGGCACTGGTCTTATGTCTTCAAAACTTTTGCTTGAAGCATTATGATTGAAATTAGGCAGATGTGACTGCAGATCACTAAAGGAGTCCACTCCTTTCTCCAATTCAGAAAGCATACTATCCAGTGTCTCTTGAAATATTCCCGCTTCTTCTTTAGCTAATGAAATATCATTTTGGTCATTCTCTTCCTCTCCATCACTGCTATCTGGCTCATAAGAGTCAATGTTTACAAAAGCAATTCCATTCTGACCATTAAGGTTATTGTGCTCTCCACAAGTATCAGAATTCATATTGTTACTCCCAGTTTGTCCGTCTCCCCAATTGTAACATGCTGGAGAAAATGGAGAAGCATCTGTGTTGACTGCTTGGTTCAGTTCAGCTTGACCAACAGGATTTTCTGAAGCAACATTTCCTAACAATGGTACATCTGCCAAAGGAGAACATACTTGGGCAAGTGGACTGGAACCTTTATATAAAAATGTAAAGAAAGTATATGTTGGAATGATAAGACTAATCAAAGTTTTTTTCATCAACACACATAATAAAAATGGCATTTGTTGATGATGCTCAACTGTGGCTGTTCTTCATTAGAATGTTAAAAAAGCGAGTCGTAATATGTATAAGAGACATTTTATGACGATTTCATGGATGTTCATTGCTAGAAATAAAATATATTTAAGGTAATGCTGAAAAATCATGCTGTATTGCGTATCAGAATGAGAAAGCCAGCATCTTGCAGTTCTGTTAACCATACCCTGACATTTTTTATAGCTGCTGATATGCCACATATTAAGAACTTAGGGGACAACACAGAATATTGACCAGGCTGCAGAATTACTATGTATTACTTCCGAGTCAACACACAGTATTAAATTACAGAAATTTTAAAGAATATCCCTGCCCTAGAAACTGTATCAAACCTCCAAACATGGTCAGTTAAAGGAAATTCTTGTTCTACAACATCTTAAGAAGAGGAATGCAGTATTTTCTATCAATAGCTATTACTAAGATTAAACAAGTGTATATTTATTGTGTCTGTCAATGCCATTCCTTATGATACAATCCCCCAAGTCAAAGCCAAGTGCTTCATGGAACAATTTAATTAGGTTCTGGAATGTCCTTCCTCTGTCTCTCCATCAGTATTTCTGTGATTTTGATGAAAGAATCTGAAAACATGGAAGGGCACATATTCTGCTAGCTTTAATAGGATGCTGTTTCACTTTATGTTGCCAAAGTTACTATTTTATTTTCATTTAAATGGTTTTATTGTGATTTATATTTAATATGTTGTAAGCAGCAGCATGAACATTTGGCTAAGAGGTTAGATGTAAATGTGTTAACTGATGATTTGGCATCTCCTACGATATTGGCAAAAAATACAGTACTGTAATTGATGGGTTTCAATATAGTAGCGTAGTTGATAAGCATCTGCCTTGCATGCAGATTGTTCCAGGTTCAATCCCCGGCATCTCCAGGTAGGGCTGGTAAAGACTCCCTGCCTGCAATCGTGAAGAGTCGCTGCCAGTCATCACTGAGAATACTAGCTAGATGGATCAATAGTCTCATTCAGTACCAGCCAGCTTCCCATGTTCCTATGGGTCTTACTTTGAGAAAATTGGATTCAAGTTATTATTACATTTTTAGAACAGTTAAAATACTGCTAAGATTAGGTGGGGGGGGGGGAGAGGAGTTCTTCAAAATAGCAACAACCAACAACATTAAGGTAATGAAGCTAGAAGATGATTGTGCAGAAACTAACTGGATGCAACAAATAAAGCAAAGCTGGAGAGAGAAATGAACAGAAGGCCACTTACTTACTACCCAACGCTACAAAGTATGGTATATAATTGCCTATATCCATGGACAATGAACACCTGAAACATGCCCATTTCTGTGCATTCTATTGTTTGCATGCATAATAAAACTAAAATTCCAATAATGATCCATCTATGAACCACTGTCATACAAACCACTTTTAGTATTTCCCTCAATAGAGAATTATGCAAATTTGGGGCCGTGGCTAAGGTTTTGACCGCAGTTTTAATAATTTCATATCATTCTGATGAGCTTCAAATACACTAGTGGATGTAAGAAAAAAGTTTTAGCAATATTGCCAATTTCACTATTACCTAGCCTTTTGTTCAACTGACTTGTACCAACAGCATGTTATTATTTCAAATGCTTTCCCTTAAGAAGAAAAATATTTTCAGGTTGTAATTATTTGACACGCACACAAATAATTTTCTTTTTGAACATCATCTAGTTCTAATCCTTCACATTCTCCATCGTGTTGGCTCGAATTTCTCTCTTGGTTCGTCAGAGATGGTCTAAAATTGACATAGGCATGCCTTCTTCCGTATCTTCTGCCTGTAATAGTCTGATACCCTCCTGCTGGTTTTGGCCATGTGGGCTTTCCAGCTTCCTGACCCATTTCTGCAAGAGAAAGAGGGGAGGAGGGAAGCAATTCTAAACACATTAGAAAATATTTTTTAATAAAAAAACTCATTTTTTAATCATGGTATAAACAAATGCTACATGCAAAACTACAGTTTAGGTCTCATGCTGCTAGCAATACAGGTATGTACTGTATGTCAATTGTCATGTTACTTTACTTTTCAAAATATTGCATAAAACCTAAAAATAGGACAGCGGCATAAGCACAAAAAACAAACTAGCATGCTTTTTTGTCTAATAGCTTCCAATTTAGAAAATAGCTGGCATGTTAGCTAGCCCAGCTGAATCGATGCACTTGACTCTCTTAAACTTTTAGCAGCATCCCCTAATAAGTCACATTTCTCTAGCATTTTTTAACATTAGGAAATATCACACAAACAATCCAACCCATTCCACAACTGCTCCTTATATCTCCCTTTTAGTTTTGTCTTCAGTTTCACAGCCTGTTTTATGCCGCTACTTCTCTCACCGGGATTCAAACAGTACCTCAGAGTTTCTCAAGTTGTTGGAAGAAACCTACAAATAGGTGCCAACATGTAAGGGGTTATTCTAATTTCCAGAGCCTTTCTTTTCTTTAACTGGGCTAACCACATACAGCTACTTCTGAATGGCCACCTTTAATACACAGGTTGCTCACTACATCCCTTGTTGTATTTTAAGCTTAAATTCTATTTAAATATATAATCCTTCGTATTATCATTAAATATGGGGGGGGGAATTCAGTTGCTGAGTACAATATGCTTGCATTTTTCTGTTGTAGAGGACAAAATTAGGGCTCAAAAGGCGATTCCAAATAATTGACTCTATCCCTTCTCCTTACAGTCACAACTATGATCTAGTCTGCTCCACTTCTGGTTTATTACTACCTTATAGGCACTGAAACTAAAAATCACTGCAATCTCTGATTTTTATACAAGAGAAGCAAAAGAGGATGAGTAAGGTAGGTGAGGGTTCCACAAGAAGAAATAATGGAACTAGGGCAAACAGCATGCATAAACACTGCTTTTTCAACCTGATGGCAGAAGAGTGCAAAATTGCAATATGGATTACAGGAACTCACATTATAATTGGGAAACTCACGTTATAATAGAAACAAATTAACGTCTGCTGCAGTGCTGGCAGGTTCTGATGTTCTGTCTGTTCTTTATTGAAGTTCAGATAGGAGGCAATGGCAGTCAAGCAGATTTTAAAGCGTGGATCACGCAAAGAATGGTCACGCAAACTGCCTTGCACAATCAGATCAAAGACCAAAGAGCCCAACACTGTGCATCCAACAGAGGCTGAACTGTTTCTGGAAGCTGATGGTGATAGCCATTCTATTTCTCTTTCAGTAACTGATACTCAGAGGTACACTGCCCCAGGCACAGAGATTTCAATAAGCTAATAGCTGCTGACATACCTGTGCCTCATGAATTGGAGTCTTTAACTCATTTAAGCTAGTGGCCCTCTATATACTTTACACCAGTGAACATCACAAGATAAAGATGTACTGAAGAAAATGAAAAGTCTATTCACTGTGCCTATGGTACATTTGCCTTTTATCTTAATATTTATAATTTGTTAAGCTCCAAAAATGCAATTAAGTGCTGTATAGTTTTGTTTATAAAAAGCTTAAAATAAGGTCCTGCCTTAAGGCTTATGGATCTTCTGCTACTTCTCTCAGTGTGTCTGTATAAAATATAATTCTTTTCCTTTTTTATCTGCATTCCCTAGACTATGCTGCAGTAAAGTTATCCCTTGCAATCTGTATCCATCTGTCGCCTTCTAAGATAAAGTAAAAATAACAGTAATAATTTTAGAATAGTTGCTTTAAAAGCAAACAAGAATAACCAACATCAAGCAGGCAAGGAAGGAAACAAGAGATACTACATGAACTACTTCCAAGTCATGCACCCTGATTGGCAGTAATTCTATTAATATAAATCTTTAATTAGAGTTGGAGAAATGAGTTCTAATCATTTATTCAGATGAGCTATGGAAGTTTGCCTTCAAACCAGAATAAGAAACCACAGACTGAAGTGGGTTTGTGAATTCTGGTTTGTAGGCAAACTTTCATTGGCAATAATCATGGCTTTCCTGATTCATATCTTGTATGGCAAGCTGTAGTCACCTACAAAACACGATGCGGAGGGGAAGAATGCCATGATGAGAGGAAGGAGTGTGCAAGCTCACAAAGTAACTGTTTTTGACACTGAAACTCGTCTTTGTTTATGGAAACTCATTTTTTAAAATGTCTAACAAATTAAAACTTCATTTTCTCTGCTCTTCCAGACCTATTCTAGTAGATATCTACTTCCAACAATTGTAATACCTACTGCAATTCAGCAGGGTCTTGTTAGAAAAGACTTCAATATGATCCATATTCTCCCAGTAGTTTTCTTCCCGCCATCTCCTCAGTCCATCAGATCTATCATTTTATTTGTCCATGAAACCTGTGTGATACCAATCACATGATTTTAATTGGTATCTTTTAAACAAAGGCCAAGTTTGTCTATAATAGTTATGCTCAGTAAAAAAAGCTGCATGTATTCTATCATTAGGTTTGCACATTTATTTCATTTACAGCTATAGATTTCCCAAGAGATCTAAAGAAGGCAATTCAAGAACATTATCTTACAAAAACACTTTTTCAAAGTCTGTTTTGATGTCCCTACAAGCAATCTTTTATATTTATAAAAGTATTAATTCTCTGTTCATTAACTACATCACTTTTAAATAATGCAGTAACTTCTGTTGCAAAAACAATTTTAGTGTGCAAAGTCCTTTTACAAGGCAGAGTATAACTTATAAATGCTAGAGAGAAAATTTATGGTAGTGCCAATGAAACAAGCCTGTTTCAAAATGCTTCCTCTAATGCATCATCCTATTCTGCTTTGGATTATATACAGTTCATCATCAAGGAATGACTCAAACAATTCAGGTATTCACATTATTATTCAAGCAATATTAAGCAATAAAATAGAATTAAAAACAAAACAGTAAAGCCCTAGTTTAGGCCATCAAAAACTACTGCTTGCTGGGCAGCAAGTATTTAAGAGGACAAAAACACGGCAGACACTTTGCTTTCCTAGATATAACTTTTCAGGACATACAGATTGAAGCAGCTGTGATCTATAAAGATGTCTTTGCCTATAACACAACAAAATCATGCAATCTAGCCAAAGCAGAATGAATTCCTTATCTTGATGGTTTGAGTTAGAATGGAGATTCTGCTGTCATCTAACCATCCTACATACATTATTTCCTGGTCAAAATGGTTGTGGAGTTCTTACTCTGAATAATTTGGCATATGTGCATCAAAGGCCAGGATAACAGGTTCAGGATTTCCTATCTTTTAACAATCTGGGACCTATCCAAAATGCTTAGCTGATAAATAGTAGGTCATATACTACATTTAATATATTTCCCTGGCTCAGAAATACATCCTCCAGGGAATGGAAATGAGATTGCTGTTATTAGAGTTTGGCCACTGCCTTTTAAATGATCTTTGTCACTGCTATAGCATAGTTTGCTAAGGAAATGGTCTTCTGTGTGGACAATCTGTCTATTCTACATGGAAATTGTTCTGACAAATTCAGGCTCTCTTTGCCTGAAAATTGAGGAACTGCTCATTTTCTTGCCAATGATACACCAGCTGCTTTGCATATAAAATTGCTTAGATTCAGTTCCCTTGGAAGTTGCTAGTGTTAATGGAGTCAGCATTCCAGATAGGGCCTGTTATGGCTTCAACTGGATAGAAGACTGTATGTTGAGATTCCTGCACTGCAGAGAGTTGAACTAGATAACCCTTGGGGTCCCTTCCAACTCTACAATATGATTGGAAGCAATCACTGACACACTAGATTCAGAATTTCTAGTGAATGCTCAGCAGTCAGCAGACTCTGCACTTTGTTATTGCTTCACTCATGGAATGCAGTGTACAAGTTGCCCTCCTATCTGCAGTACTCTAGATCCACTAGATCAGTGTTTCTCAAACTGATGTGGTGGACCAGCAATTCTCCCCCCACCCAACTGTGCCAGCGCCCAAAGCATATACGGTCCCGAAAGCATCCCACCCAACCTAGGCTGTGGTAGAATTGCTGCGGACCAGCAGCCAATGACTTGTGGACCAGCACCAGTGGACCACCAGACTAGCTGTTGTTGATTTCCATTTTCTTCTTCTGTAAAAAAATACTGTAATAACCGTCCTTCCATTTGGGGCACATCTAGATGCAAGGATTTTTAACCACTATCTATTTGACATTCATTTATTTGACATTCATAGCAGATATCACAAAGAGTTAGCACTTGTGACCTTGGTTGCTTTATCTGCCTTGAAATGGGCAAAGAAAATCACACCCTAATGATCCTCTTGGATCTTTCAATGGCTTTCAATATTGCTGATCATGACATGTGAGTGACATTGCTTCAGATGCATTCTGGGCAGGGAGATTCTGGAACAGGAGAAAGGGTAGCTAATCAGCTTTCCAATACATCTAAGAGGCTACTGACAGAGATCATAGGAAGGCATGGGGCTTGATGCCATCCTATGCTGCTGGTACACTGTGCTCATACTTTCCTTATGACTAAGGTCTTTAGTACTGGTATTCATGTGATACCTGTTCATAATAAGAGACTGAATGCACCAAAGCCACTAAAGAATGACACAAAGAATTCTGGTCAACTTCTTAGTCAACCATTTTAACAGCCAGTTGAGATGTGAGGGTTTTTGAGATGAGTATCTGTAGCAACCCCCAACCTTCAATCAATGACACTGAATCCCAACACAGTGCATAGCAGAGCACCATGTCAAGAGTTACTTTGCCTTCTGTGCCAGCAGCCTTTTCAAAGTCCATTATCCCTATGGAGGATATACTACAGGCTTTCATCAACGGTCTCTGGAAATCTATCTATCTATCTATCTATCTATATATATATATATATATGAATGCCACTAGCAACAGATTTGTGGACCTTTAGTGAAGCCAAATTCAAACAAAACTGAAATAACAGGCCACCAGGACTTGTGATCTACGGCAGACAGAATATCATTAACATGCTTTTGGCCACAAACATTTAAACCTTTGGGTGCTCAGATATTCATTACTGCTGAACCCCTTTGGTGATGCATGTAAACTAACTGTAGAATCAGTGTATTCAACTATCAAAGAAAATCCATCAGACTGAAAGAGATTATCTGTTCCTGCAGTTTCCTATTCCAATGGGAGTCTGCAGTAGAGATTCTGACAACACAAAGTATCAGCTGCCCTATGATGCTTTGGGGATTATCCCTGCAATGAAAGTGCTTTCTCTGAGGTATCTGTCATACAATCCTTCTCTAATGCCAAGTGGAAAACACTGTGATGAAAATATTTCCCACAAATCTCAAGTCCAGTGCCCCTTCCAACCCTTAACGAAAGTCTTTCTACAAGGTTCTCTGTTTCTCAGAGCCTATTGAGCAGGAATGCAATTGAGCCAGTATAACTTGTTCTTCATCTATTACAAAGACAGGTAGTCTGTGGTCCACTGGATACTGGAACACAGACCAATATTTAATGAACATTTGGAGCCTCATGATCAGTAATGTGGGTTTTCTGGAAAATTGTGAATCAGAAAACTTATCAGAAAGTTTGGAAAGGACTCCTCTTTGAATCTGGAGAGCGGCTGCCAAATAGCATAGATAGCATTGAGCTAGATGGACCAAAGGTCTGCCTTCCTAGAAGCAAACTATGTTCCTATTAGGAAAAGGATTGTAGTTTTTTTAAAAGTAGATCTCAGAAGACTGGAACAGGCCATTTTTGCTTTATTAAACCAATAACCATCTAGTAATATTTTCTTTTTCCATTTTTTCCTCCGAGCTTGTCTCCTCTTTTTTTTTAAATAGGCAGGTAGGTCCTTCTTCATCCACTGTTTCAATCCTCAATTAACCATATCCTTGACTTCCTGTAGTTTTGCACCGCTGCTGAGACAGTTACTGCTTGTGGCCGCCATTTTCCTCCTTCCCACCCTTCCTCTGGCACACCATTCCTTCTAGAGGTAGTCCTCTAGGAAAACTGCAGAATGTTGGAAATGGCAGACTCAATGGTTCTATCACTCTCAAAGCACTGGCAGCGGCCAAAACCGTTTTTTCCTATCAGTGGCTACTGACTTGGGGGGGGGGTGGTCATACTCAGATCTAGCAGTCTTCATTCATTCCTTAGTGTACACTACTGCACTACATATCCTAGGGCACTGATCAAAGCTTCAGCTAGTACAAATGTTAGACAGTCTTATGTTCCTACTGGCCCCCGCATACTGTATTACACAAGTACTACACAGGTGGCACTACTGACCCCGAGCACAATGGAAGGTGCTAATATTTATCCACTGAACCTTACACTGAGTGATCTTAGTCTGACAAAGAATGACCTCAACAATATAATGTGCATGCCATGTTCAGGCATCAGTAATATAGAAGTATTCTCAGTGGTAACTATGGAATTCTTTTCCTAGAATTTGCCAAATTCCAAGCATCTTTCAAAAATATTGCAAGATCTTTCTGAGTTGGTCTGTAGGTTAATGGCATTTGGGAAGGTGTAGCAGAAGATGTGGTGACTATTACTGAACAAGTCACCATGAACTGCAAGTTTTTAAAAAATAATAAAGCACAGAATAGTACATGAGCATGTTTTTTATTAGAGCAATTTCACCCCCAAAGTCAGTTTCCCCTTATTCTTCTGAGATCATCTACCTCAGCTTCTCCACAACTATATCTATAACTTATTTGCAGAAATAACAGAATAAGTTATCCATGCACAGCAGTCCAAAATTTATGATTATGATTGGCTCAGAAAGTCTCACAACAAACTTCTGATTCAGTTCCTATCCTATCAGCTAAACTACGGTAACTAAACATGCAGAATAAATACGGAGCCATTTCATAATTCACAGCTGCCAGGTGAAAAGTGAAATGCTGCAGAAAGCATACACTTTGCAAACACTCCAACAATTTTTGGACTAGTGGCACTACTGAGATATTCAGATTCCAGGAGTTTGGGATTTAGAACTACAACACTTCAACTTTTTATGTAATAGTAAAGAAATCATCTTCAAACAGACAATAAACATTTTAAATTCATGCCAGCGGCACTTTGCAGCTAAATAAAAAATAGTGGTGTTGTGCGCAGTGATATAACTTAAGTAATTATCTCTAAAGTGTATACTTGATGTATCACAGTTTAGGATTACAACAAAAATGATAGGAACAGAAGCACCTAAAGTATGTTCAAAGGTCTTGCATGGTTAGTTTTCTTATCCTTACAATACAACATGTTTTATTGATTTAGGTTGTCTTGTAAAGCCTGGAACAAGCAACATGTTCCACATCTCTAAGCCAGGCTGCTCTCCCTTGTCTCCTCTCCTATGGAAATTATTCCATTTCCACTTTTGTTAATGCCTCAGTTAAATTTAATCAAAGTATGCAAACATGCATACCTGGAGGCAAACTTTGATTTGACACTAACCACACAATGTGTTAACATGGGTGCAGATATAATAGTTATCTCCAAAAAGGGGAGGAGGAAATTAAACCAGGGGTTTCTAAATGTGGTGGCTAACCTGTGACCCTCCAGATGTTGCTCCCATACATCCTTAACCATGCTATCCCTTAACCACGCACGTTAGCTATCCCTGTTCTAAACTGTGATCCTGATTTTACATCTGCATCAGGCCTTGGTTATAAACAAATGATCAAGGCCAACACAAGTGAGTCGTACTTTCACCATAGCTTTCAAAGAATACTCATGAAACCCAAATGCACTAGCTCTGTAAGAACCTTGAGTTCACACATGCCCTCCACTTGAATTCTCCTTTAACTGTTACAGTGGAGGCACAAGTCACTTACACATCTGTTTTTCAGCAGTTCATACAATGCAAAAAGAGATAAATTTGAAGCTAGGATTAAAGATTGCCAGGTCATGCTTTGTGCCCATATCCAATAGATTAAAGTAGCTTGTCATGCATGTTAGCTCAGATATGGATATCATCTTCCAAAAACACCCAAGTCAGAAAAGAATAGGATTCAATGTTTATTACAGCTGCATTAAGTGTGACACGGAGTAGTATGTTCACAATTTTCACATGACAAACCAGATCAAAATTTCTTAATTGGAAAGTCTTACCAAGCACATTTTTTGAACTTATATTTTCTGAAATCAATTAATCTTACTACCAATCAACTGGATTGCAATCTTTTACCATTGGAGCTGAGCAGCATCTACTAAATCAGGAATAGGGAACGTGCACCCCATAGTCCAAATGTGACCCGAAAAACCTCTCTATCCAGCCTTCAGGATTCTTCCTCCTCCTCCATCCATGTCTCTAACCAACCCTGCTCTATGCATTTGTCAAGTGACCCCTTGAAGGCTGCCCATCAGACAATGCTTTGGGACCACATTGATGATGAAAAGGAGTCAATTTTTTTTATAAATAAATGAAAATGCAGACCTTAAAATTAAAGTTTCTCCACCTGTGCATTACCAAATCAAACAGTTAAGAAATTAAATGTACACTGGATAATTTAAGAGTTAAAAGCACTGCATTTAGAAGTTTTCCTGCTCCTTTTTATATAGTTTTTTTTTTTGTTTGTGTTAAATCAACATGTAACATCTTGAAAAGTAGGTTTAAGCTTGCATTTCCCCCTCTCTTTTTATTTAACAGAGGAAAGGGGCATAAAACTAATTATCTGAGTTAGAAATATAAAGAACTAAATAGCCTCAGTGTCTCTTTCAGTGATACATCTTTTTTCCATGCATTTTATATGAAAAAAACTTTTCTCTTTGAAACATACTGGATTATGTAGCCTGGTGAGAAGAAAGAGGACAAAGTGTCTGCCCTTGGAGCAGGGGCTGAACTGAACAGGCTTTTGAGCCTTTCCAAACTTGATTCTGTGAGCAACCAATCATAAGTTTTAACCCTTTCTTCAGGAAGCATACTGAGGCCCAATATACCACAATAGCTTTTATGTTAAGACTACTTTTTCAAATGTGATGCCTTTATTTCCAGCTTGATCAATACTGCAAAAACAAATAAAAAGGTGGGTTTATTTGCTTAAACCATGTATGTTTTAATAAAAAGATAATTTGAAATTGGAGTAATTCTATGTGCACCCAACTGTCCAAGTTCCTTGGAAGTAGGAAAGAATACAAAACAGATAAATAATGTTTAGCATGCAAACACAGTATGGTAACTACAGGCAGACAGACTGAAGGAGGAAACAACATGGGAATGAAAGAATGAAATCTCCAAGGTGTACTAAATGCTCACTATTTTGAGTTGTAGGGCTCTTCTGGGGGACCCAGAAGACCAAACAAAATGCAAGACAAATGTATATACAACTTCTTTAGGAGCAATTGAACCAGTCGTATCAACCATCAGCTAAAACAATATTACATGCTATCCGCTCAAACATGCTATTTTACTGACACCCCCCCCCCCGCATTCTGTTGCTTTTAATCGTTTTTGCTTCTTTGTTTATGGCCAGCTCACTTCTGGTGTTGGAAAACTGCTTAAAGCAGCAAAGTGCTTTAGGAGGAGATGAGGTTGCTCCCCTACTCCTTTTTATATAATCAGTATATGCTTGCAAACTCCCCCCCCTCACACGATTTATATAGGGCAGAGGCATAAAGACCATTCCATCTCGTTTGCTTCTCCGTTGCCTCCAAATTAGAATCCTATGTAAAAATGCACTGGCCCTCTTAGGTAGTAGTTCTGGAGACAACTGGGGGGGGGGGCTCTCTCTCTCTCTTGTTTTTACATAAGCCCCAGGTGTGGAAGTGAGAGCTGGACCATAAAGAAGGCTGATCTCCGAAGAATTGATGCTTTTGAATTATGGTGCTGGAGGAGATTCTTGAGAGTCCCATGGACTGCAAGAAGATCAAACCTCTCCACTCTTAAGGAAATCAGCCCTGAATGCTCACTGGAAGGACAGATCCTGAAACTGAGGCTCCAACACTTTGGCCACCTCATGAGAAGAGAAGACTCCCTGGAAAAGACCCTGATGTTGGGAAAGATGGAGGGCACAAGGAGAAGGGGACGACAGAGGACGAGATGGTTGGACAGTGTTCTGGAAGCTAGCAGCATGAGTTTGATGAAACTGCGGGAGGCAGTGGAAGACAGGAGTGCCTGGCGTGCTCTGGTCCATGGGGTCACGAAGAGTCGGACACGACTAAACTAAACAACTAAACAAGCAGCCCCAGGTGTGCATACAATACGAAAACACGTGCAGAAGATGTCAAATTAAGAACCCGCATTTTATATCTCCGGGCCTCCGATGGAGAGCCGAAGAATTAATCCGGTTCCCAGCTCAAATCTCGGTGCGAGTCGTCTCTCTCTCTGCCCCATTCCCAAATCAAACCCACGTGGGGAGGAGGAACGTAGGCGGGGAAAGAAGCTTTGCATCACACGCCCGTGGCAAAAATCACACGGGCCGAAACAAATGCAGGCCTGTCAAAAAGGGAGCCAACCCTCAGCCCCCTCGCTGCACCACTCTCGCGCGACCTACGCGCGTGCGCCCATCACGCCCCCCCCCCCCGCGCTAAGAAGCATGCTCACATCTCACTGTATATACACACACAAGAAGGGATACGTACCCATTCGCTATGTATATACACACAAACACGTAACTCTGCGCATCACAAAGCTCCCCCCCCACAAGAATTGGGCACCGCGCAACCTCCGAAGCCCCGTCGCAGCCCTGTCAGGCCCACTCCCACCCCACAGAGTCCCCAGCTACGGCGGTTCCCCCTGGAGAGCACCGTCCCCTCAGCCGGGTCACGGGAAGAACCAACCCCGGGCGGAGACCGGGGGGGGGGGGAGAGGGAGGGGGAGGGGCGGCCGGCTCGGCCTCCTTCCCCTCCCCCACCCCAGGCCTCCGCTCTGAGGAGAACCGCGAGGGGGCGGGGAACCAGCCAAGCTCCCGCCTGCCTCTTCCTCCCGCCAAGGCCCGCAGTGGCGCGCCCCGGAGCCCACCCGGCCGCCGGCCCTCAAGAATCCGGACGCGAGAACTCACCGCCTCCCCTTAAGCCAAAGGGCGACAGGGCGGCGGCGGCGGCGGCGGCAGTCGAGACGCACCACCTCGGGACGGAAAGCCGGCCCGGCCAATCCCGCCCGGCAAGCCTCGCCCGCGCCGGCCAATCCCGCCTCCCACCTCTCGGGAGGAAGCCAATCGGTGAGGGGAAATGAAGGAGGTGGTTTTGGAAGGGCCCGCCCACCGCACTCCCTCGTTCCCTCTGAGGGCCGGAGTTTTGCGGGCGTCTGTCAGGAGATCCCTCGCGCGCGTTTCGGCAGAGGAGGCGCCCAGGCAGGGTCTCCGCTGCGGAGCTGTAGTAATAATCCCGCCTGGAGCCCGCAGTAAAGTTGTCCTTGCGGAGCTATGAGGGTATATAAGCTCCTGGCAGCGGGGCTTTTCTTCAGCAGCACACAAGTAACACGCAATGCATCTCCCTACCCTTGAGTTCCCATAATTGATGGGAAACTCGAAATCAGCCACTGATTTCGTCAGGAAAGTACCTCGCTAATGTATGTGGTCTGATTTTATTGCAGATGCTCGAGGGATAATGATTCCCGTACACATAAAGTTATCAGCTGTCCATCCTGAGCCCTAGGTGCTACAAATGCAAGTCACAGAAGAAGAGTGGCCCTGCTAACATAAAATGGGCATTTTCTCGCTCTCTTCAGATTAGAACTAACAGCCTGATCCTATCCACTGTCCAGCAATCCGATACACCAGACAAGCCTAGCGATGCGCAAAGTGCTAGATTGACCCGTGCAACAAGGCTATCGAAAGGATAGGGGCACTACCGGACTTCCTAATAACAGCAATAATGATAATAATGATTTTATTATTTGTACCCCACCCATCTGACTGGGTTGCAACAGGCACTCTGGACAGCTTCCAACATATATACCAACATTACTGGGCAGAGTAATGGGCTGGATAATAATAATAATAATAATAATAATTTATTTATACCCCACCCACCTGGCTGGGTTTCCCCAGCCACTCTGGACGGCTTCCAACTGAGTATTAAAAACAGTACAGCATCAGACATTAAAAACTTCCCTAAAGAGGGCTGCCTTCAGTTGTCTTTTAAAAGTAAAATAGTTGTTTATTGATTTGACATCTGCTGGGAGGGTGTTCCACAGGGCAGGCACCACTACCGAGAAGGCCCTCTGCCTGGTTCCCTGTAACCTTACTTCTCGCAATGAGGGAACCGCCAGAAGGCCCTCGGGGTGGATGGGGTACTTATACCTCCAGCATTGTCGATACATGCTTAGAAGGTGCCTTGAAATATATTATTATTATATTTAACCTATCAATTAATTTAAACTATTATTTAATCTATTATTAATTAATTAACTTGCATACCACCCAAAGATCTCACAGCATAAAATTTCGAGAAATTATCCAGTTGCTACATCAGCCAGGACCATGCTTTGATGCGATAGTCTGGACAAAGGTATCCATGCTCTGGTGTCCTCATGTGTAAGACTATTGCAAGGCATCGTGCACGAGGCTGCCTTCGAAAATTATATAGAAGTGGCAGTTGATCTAAAAAGAGGTCTTCAAAATCTTAAATTGGGACCGGATGCTTTCATCATATTGTTATTGATTTATCGGTGCTAGAATTTAATTTAAGGTTTAGGGGTGTCAAAGCTAATTTACCTGGAGTTAATAGCCAGACTCAGGTGTATTTACACTGTGTGATAACCCTAGTTAATCCTTTAATTAGCACAGGTGAAGGCTAATTAAGTCAGACCCTGTGTGCTGGACAGTGTGCCAGTCATCCTTAATCCTGTGAAATTAACATGGGTTCAAAGGTAATGGAGTCAACCTAATTTCCTTTGAGGTGAGAGCATGGGGGTATTAGCACAACAAAGCATCAATCACCAGGTGTGAGGAAGCAGGTGATTGGGGCCTCCCTCTGTGTTACAGAAGGCCAGGGCTTATGTTAGCAAGGTTAGAACAGGTAAGAAATGTGATCCTTGGGTGCAGAGGAGGCAGACTGCCAAGGGAGGGATGCTGCTGCCTTTGGAAGAAGCTGGTGCCGTTTGGGATGTGATGTTTGGAACTCCCTCCACAGCAACCACAGTTTGTATACATGTGAAAATACACCATATATCATAAAGATGCCACAGACTCCACTGTGCCTCATTGGTCCAAAAGGAAACACAGACCCTGGGGTCAAAGCACCTGAGACCCTCTGAATCTTGCACTACTGTGGTGGTTAGGGTGATGTGCAACAATATTATGTTAGTGCCCAGGATCCATTTCCAAGGCAAGTTCAAAGTGCTGGTTTTAATTGCTAAAGGCCCTTAGTAACTTTGGACTATTGGATGCGGGTGGCGCTGTGGTCTAAACCACTGAGCCTCTTGGGCTTGCCGATCAGAAGGTCGGCGGTTCAAATTCCTGCGACGGGGGGAGCTCCCATTGCTCGGTCCCAGCTCCTGCCAACCTAGCAGTTCGAAAGCACGCCAAAAAGTGCAAGTAGATAAACAGGTACCACTCCGGTGGGAGGGTAAACAGCATTTCCGTGCGCTGCTCTGGTGTCGGTGTTCTGTTGTGACAGAAACAGCTTATTCATGCTGGCCACATGACCCGGAAAAACTGTCTGCAGACAAACGCTGGCTCCCTCGGCCTACAAAGCCTGATGAGCGCTGCAACCCCAGAGTCGTCTGCGACTGGACTTAACTGTTAGGGGTCCTTTACCTTTTTATATCTTTGGACTAGGTTACCCAAGAAGTTAATTTCTTCCCAATATACATTCTCATTCCTCACATTTTCTTTGTGGCTATTTTGGCTCCAGGTAGATTTCTCTCTACCTGCCCCCCCCCAATCTCTTTAAATAATTTGTGGTCTTAATATCAGGGCTCTCAATGTCTCACCTGTGTATTATTGTATATTTATGTTCCTAAACTAATTTTTGTCTCTTCCCTTGCAGGTAAATAAAATACTATGCTGCAATTAATTTTATATGGTGGATTGATTGATTTTATTTTATGTCTTTGTGTAAGTTTTGCAGCTAGGGCAAGAGACCAGACTTTGGACCACAATCCCTGCAATAAGAACTGCATGCAAAACTTCCAATGATGCGCTATCTCTATTCTTAAGTAGCTGCAGCTTTCTGACAGAGGTCTTTCATATCACTATTTGCCTTTGCTCCCTACATATGCCGGGAATTGTATCTCAGATATTTCTCATGCTATACCATCTCCCTGCCACCTTTGCATGCATAGCTCTAGTGACTTTTAACACTTGCGTAACTGGCAGAATAAAAAAATATTTACACAGGACAGTATTCAGAAACTGTAGAATACCCCGGTCTGGCTGTTGTCTGGAAACCAGGATTAGGGAATATCTCACTTCCATTCATCTGCTGCAGTTGTACCGGCTGCTTATCAGCTTAAGGTCCCAAGTCAAATTGCCGCTTACCTGTAAAGCCATATGGAGGCTGGGCTTGGCATACCTGAGCCTCTGCCTGATCATTGTGTGAGAGAGAAAGGAGGTGTGGTTTAAGGCTGCAATCCAAAGCACACTTACTTCTGAATAAACATGCTCTCTTAAGCAAGTACGAGTCACCCATCCTCTTCAGCAATTGTGACATCTCTGGCTATTGCTGAGTGTTGTTATTGTATCATTGCTAAGGGACCTGCCTGTGAGCAATAGTGTGATTGGTAGACTAACTGTGCAGTTACTATGGGCTTTGTGAGAATGGTTGTTACTGTGCTGGTTGTGCTTGTGATGTTTTCAGTGTGTGGTTCTTACTGAGCCCAAGATTCCAGCTAAGTAAAAGCTCAGCAATAGCCATCTTACCTAGACCATAGAACTGAGCGACAGACTCAGTGTGCTTAGCAACTTAGTTCCAAAACTAATATAGGACCAGATCCTCCAAGTGCCCCTATTTTCCAGTGACGTCCCAAATTTACAGAATCCGTCCTGGTTTCTGATTTGATCCTAGAATGTCCCACTTTTCCTTAGGACATCCTTATTTTCATCAGAGAAATGTTGGAGGTTATGGTAGGATGTCCGTATTTTATCGGAGAAATGTTTGAGGATATGCGGTTATCCGACCCCTGAGACATCTGAAGGCAGCCCTGTATAGGGAAGTTTTTTTAAAAGAATGTTTAATGTTTTATTATGTTTTTATATATGTTGGAAGCCACCCAGAGTGACAACCCAGTCAGATGGGTGGGTTATAAATAGTAAAATATTATTACTATTATTATTATTATTATTATTTAGGAGGTCCCTATTTTCATCAGAGAAATGTTGGAGGGTATGTAGGACTAGAGTCTGGGGTATGAACTTGTGACTAGGGTGGCCACTTATGCATTGCCAAAAAAATAAAAGGGAACATTAAAGCACAGGATCGTCCTCTGTAAAGTAGGGCACATGGTCCCCCTACTCTTGACACCTTAGCAGTGATGGCCAAACTTGGCCCTCCAGCTGTTTTGGGACTACAACTCCCATCATCCCTTGCTAACAGGACCAGTGGTCAGGGGTGATGGGAATTGTAGTCCCAAAACAGCTGGAGGGCCAAGTTTGGCCATCACTGCATTACAGTAAGAACTTTTGATGGCTGTGGGCAGGATTCCTGCACTTCAGGGGGTGGGACTACACAACCCTTAGGATTCCCTTCCAGCTCTACAGTTCTATGAAACTCCAAAGGCTTTATCAGGTTGGACAATTGTGGGGAGATAGAAGGGGAAAGGATAGGACAGTGGGAGCTCACTTGCAGGGAAGCAGCAAGAGGAAATGGAATGAACTGAACATGGATGGGAAAAGCACTTGGGAAGGAATAGGAATTGGCATAAAGAGACTAGGCCTACGGGTAAAAGGAATATCAGTGACCCGGGGATTCTGTGCCAAGAACACTGGGAAATAATCATATTGGGGACAGCTGAGATTAATTGAATCATAGCCTTAAATAAACAGTGTTTATAACCCATCTTTCTGTTAATCAAGGTGGCTAACAATGCAAATAACAGACAGCAACACAATAAGCTAAAACTCTTTTAACTAACAAAAATAGTACCGTATTTTTCGCCCCTATAGGAAGCAGAGCACCCCGCGCTTTGGGCAGATATCCGCAGCCTAGGGAGTCCTGCGGGAGTTCCCGCAGGGCTCCCTAGGCTGTGGACAGCAGCCTTCTGCCCGGAGCGCGGGGCGCGCTGAAGCCGCGGCTGGGGGGGGGGAATAATTTTTTCCCCCTTTATTTCCCCCCCAAAAAACTAGGTGCGTCCTATGAGCCGGTGCGTCCTATAGGGCGAAAAATACGGTATCTGCATTTGCTCTTTTTTAAACAAAACAAAACAAAAACCCACTGTCATTCTATTTTAGCTTGTAAACCACCTAGAGAAATTTTGGTATAAAAATAGATATATAAGTATTTATATGCTGTTTCATACCAAAAAATAAAATAAAAATCCCTCCGCACTGAGAAGTGGATTTCAGGGAAATATTCCAGCCTAGTTTTACCTGTAATATGCTTGCCTCTATATCTTCTTTTTGATGGGAAGTGTTTGGTTCAGCCATGGGAGTTCCCACCTGCAGTTTGAAGTGTACAATTTTGACACAGGTTTGCCATTTCAAGCAAGAACTAGGCCCTTGCAGACAGTGCTGCATTTAGCTATGGCTTTCACAGGGCCCTTTTTCACCTGCCTTTTTTTTTTTTAAGGAACAATATATTAGCACAATAAAGTATTGTAAGCAGTACCTTTTAAAAGGTAGTCACAGAAGAGATGGCAAATTTGCAGAAAATATCATATATAGTTTCATACTTTCTGTCAGAATTCACGTAAACAGCTTTCAAGTTAATATTGCTTATATAATACACAAATAAAAGAAAATGTGATACAACCCTATAGAGTGCCTCTTTGTATTTTCCTCGCTGGAATGTTTCCTTGCAACACAGTATCCATTTCTCATGGCAGCACATTATTTCTTCCCCCTCTTATAGCGTTTAAGATGCTTTAGGTTTAGGACATGATTCTATGCTTCTGGTATGCCATCTAGGGAGATAAAGACTTTTCAGAAGTCCCCTATACAGGTGTATTGTATTGTATACAGTGGTACCTTGGTTTTCAAACAGAATGCATTCTGGGAGTTGGTTCGACTCCCAGAACCATTCGAAAACCAAAGCACAGGCACAACCCCCTCTCAGGGGTTGACCAAACCATTGAGTCCCTGGATTCCTTTAACGAAATACCCTTCACATAGGGATGGCGAGAGCGTTCTCCCATCCCTATCACCTGAACCAGAGCCTATCTGCAACCTTACAAGTTGTGACAATTTGCTACGCAGCAGGCGAAAGCCAAATGGCAACAGCCAATCCGCCAAGTGGGAAAATTCCTGCCATGCCCCTGTACCAACGACAGATGACACATGACGGCATAGCAAGGTCAAGCGCACAAGCCCTAAAAATAGGGAGAGGTGGGTGGGTGTTCCAAATGCACGCGCTGAAAGAGGAAGCTCTGGGTTACATACATGGGTATAAATCCCTTTGGACTCTGCTCCATTGGCCCGATTAAACCCAGCATCGAGGGACCTCCAATCAGGTGTTGTGGCTGATCAATCAAACGCACCCACAACACAGGGTGTTGGTTTCCAGGTCTCACCGCAATACGTGCCCTCTTTAAGGGAGTACCCAATTTTTCTTATCTTTTTTGGAACCTCCTCAACAGCATATGGGGAAAAACTATGCCAAAAGGGGCAGCGGACTAAATCTGGCCTAGTCAGAATGCACCGCCCCCCCTGACAAATTGAGAGTGTTGAATTTTTTTACAAGACGATTATGCATGCACTTATAGCTCTTGGCAATTTATTGAGTGAAATTGACTTGCCTGGTCACCAAGAGAAAGCTTTTGCTTATTCTGATGTTTGAGTAAAAACGTATTGTTAGCGTTATTATTAGAGCCATAGTGGCAAAGCAGTGAATATAATAGATTTCATTCTCAGGCAAGTAGCTTATATTGATTTCTCAAGGCTTTTCCACAGATATGCTGTCAAATGAAGACTCTACAAAATAAAAAGAGACCAGCAGCATGACAGAAATGAAGACAGATTTGCATTAAGGACATGTCAAGATATACAGAAACACATCCGGGTGCATGTTGTTCTATTGAAAGAACCTACTCCCAAAATATGTACTGTTGAGAACAGATAGAGAAAAACATTCACTGTCAAATGCTGCTGCCTTTTCTTTCAAATTAATTGCTGTTCTCACCCAAATATCAATTTACTAAGAAGAGTTTGCAAGGCGCCAGCTCACTGTGAAGTTATCTGCAATGCCAGTGGTCTTATTGACCATCTTGTTTTATGGAGCATGAAATAATAAGGTCAGGAAAACTTAGTGTTAGGATAGAATTTTCCCAGTTTCTCTCCAAGTAATTGTGAAAATGAGACACAGTGGTGGAAAATGCCTTATTAGTCCCATAGCCTAATGAAGTTCCAGGGTTTGTTTGTTTAATATCAAGCCAATATCTGACTCCTTACTCTGAAGGGCTAAGGATGCTTTCACAAAACCCAAGTCCCAGGTTAGATCATACTTGATCCACACTGCAACCCAGACACAACTTAGCATATGGAGAGAAGGAAGAAAAATTGCTTGCCGTATAAAATATTGTACCAAGAAGGGGCAGATGACATACGGTAAGTAGCAAAACCAAACTGAGTAAAACAGATTGAAGATATTCAGCAATGCTCACATGGCAATATACTGGTACAGAGTAGCAGACCTGCATGTAAACATGGATCATGCACACATACACTCTTGATGTGCCCCTATATTTACCATTATGGAGCCCCAAAGGCTAGATGCACACAGCATTCTACAGAAAAGAAAAGAAAATGCACACATGTAAGGTCCGTATAGTTAAAGCCATGGTTTTCCCTATAGTGATGTATGGAAATGAGAGCTGGACCATAAAGAAGGCTTATCGCCAAAGAATTGATGCTTTTGAATTATGGTGCTGGAGGAGACTCTTGAGAGTCCCATGGACTGCAAGAAGATCAAACCTATCCATTCTGAAGGAAATCAGCCCTGAGTGCTCACTGGAAGGACAGATCCTGAAGCTGAGGCTCCAATACTTTGGCCGCCTCATGAGAAGAGAAGACTCCCTGGAAAAGACCCTGATGCTGGGAAACATTGAGGGCACAAGAAGAAGAGGACGACAGAGGACGAGATGGTTGGACAGTGTTCTCAAAGCTACCAGCATGAGTTTGACCAAACTGCAGGAGGCAGTGGAAGACAGGAGTGTCTGGTGTGCTCTGGTCCATGGGGTCATGAAGAGTCGGACATGACTAAATGACTAAACAACAAGATATGCATCAGACTCTGGTGTGCTTATTCCAGTGGGTATGTTTTGTAATGCATGGTTTATTGCTGGGGGGGGGGTTGTAATATTATTTTTGTAACAATAAAAGTGACAAACATGAACAATACAGGTTTAAAAAACAGCAACATATCAATTCATAATGCCATTAAGAAACTCTGGCATATGCAGCGCTTTTTTTCCTGGGGGAACGCAGGGGTACGCATACCCCTAAACATTTTGTGAATCTAAGTTTGGCCTCATTGAGGGGCAGTATTTCAATATGAGTAGGAAAATGAGAGTACCCTTAAACATTCTAAAAGGAAAAAAGCACTGGGAATATGTAA